TTTAACAGTAAATGATATTAAATTTCAATTTTATTTAAGAGGAATTCAAGTGCCAGAAGAAAGCGAAATACAGGAGGAATTGAAACACAAAGGCAGAGGCAAGGCGAGAACATACAAAGAATATTTAGTGGATATGATTTTAGACACTATTGATAACGGAGGATGGATTGCAAATTTAGGCAAAGGTAGAATAGAAGAACTCAAGGCAAGTTTTAAGGGCAAAGGTAAGAAATAAAAATCTAAATACATTTAATAATGATAATATTAACTAAAAATATACTGAAAAGAAAGAAGCAGAAATTCAATGATAAATATGATGAAGACGACAGTTTTACAATACATAACCTGATGAAGCCAAGCACACCACCACCAACAATACAACCACCGAAAATGATGAAAAAAGGCATACCGAGAGAATTTGTTGACATTACAACCAACACAGATACTATTGCTACAGAAACCAGAGAGACTCAAGAAAAATTATACAATGACACAGACCAACCATTAAATGTGACATTTGAAGCGTTTAAGGTAAAGGAAAACCAAGACAATATGTTTAAAATAATGCTTCAAAACTTTTGGCGCAACACATACAAAAGAAATGAGCCAACAAGAACACAGGCAACACAAACACTGAAAAACCAACGCGATGCAATGGTGTCAGCCTTTACTAAAATGCTTGACAACAACAAACCGCCAGAACCACCGCCAAAGAAACCACCAGAGGAGGAGGATAGCGACGAAGAAGAAAAGAAGTTCAAACTGACAAAAATGATAGAAATAATGCTACACAACGGAGCTACAGTAGCAGATATAATATTAAACTTATCACACAGCACAATTGCAACAACAATAAATATTGCAGATTTAGTTAATCAGATAACAGCAGGAAATGCACAAGGTAGCAGTAGCAATTCATCAAATGAAGCTATTAGTGTTCATAGTTCTCCACCTATTACTGTTCATAGTTCCTCATCAGAAAGTCCAACAGAAATACCAGCACCAACTGAAGACGAAGATTCAGAAGAAGAAGAAAAACAAAAAGATGATTTTGAAAAATTAAAGTCTAAATAATATAATATATATGGGTTCAAGTAAATCAAAACCAGTAGAAATTGGCGATGATGAAGCAATTAACGTAATAAAAGATATAGATATTGAGATGATAAGCGAAATGTCAAAAATTGATATTATACAAATAAATGGATTGAAAGCAATAATAAATAAATTAGAAAAAGTTAATGAATGTAAAAAAGATAAAATATATTATAAATTACCTGCTCTGAATCTTTGTAGCTATTCATTATTTTGAATTAATAATATTCAAACATAATTAATAATATTCAAACATAATTAATATTATTAATTATTATCATAATCTGTCATTTCACTTTCGGGTAATTTTGTTGAGGCATTGCTACACATATCATCTATTAAATCTTCTTCATCAACAAAATTATTTTGAAATCTTAATAATTCCTCGTCTGTTGCCCTTCTTTTCAATACCTTATAAAGTTTATGTATCCAAGAATTAGTATGAAAATTGTAATTACCTCTACGATAAAATCCACCACATCTACATAGTTTCATTGGCATATTATTATATTAAATTAGAATATCTTTATTCATCATTTGTAATATGAAATGCCTGTTCAAAATTGATATGAAACATTTTGTTAATGTCTTTAGCGTTCATATTCACGTAGAAAAAAGAATATGGAGCAAAATTAACGGCTTGATGATACATATCTAATAATTGCTGTTTGTCAACAATGGCGCTATTTTCTTCAATAAAACTCATTAATTCACTGGCATTTTTCAACCTAAAAATATATAATGAACTGGCATTTAAACGAATGATAGGCGCTAAAACATTATATTTTTGTGTTGAACAAATTACACTTACTGCATCGTGCCTACCTCTTGTAAAAAGCCCGTGTAATAATTTACTATATCTAACAAATTTAGGGTCGTCTGCGTGGTCATCTATCACGATTAATATTGAATGCAGTTTCTTTATCTTTTTAGATTTCATATAATTAATTATTTTCTTCTGTCTTTCAATTACATTTTCTAAATCTGCTGGATTGTAGTTGTCAAAATATACTTGTTCTTTTTCATCATCTACATGTAGTTCATCCCTAATATACTTTTTAACTTCTGTAAAGGTTGGATCATTATGAACACTGGGCGAAAATATATATATTCTTGCAAATGAATTTCTATAAACATTCAATATTAAATTTTGAATAAGGACAGTCTTGCCGCCTGTCGAAGAAGCAACTATAATACTTCTAAATGGTAATTTTGGCACGTGCTCATATTTGGATTGCTTGAATTCATAATCAGTTATGTTTATTGGTTTTATTATTGGAACTTCTGACATATAGTTAATATTAAAGATATTTAGAAAATTATATTTAAAAATTAACTTGTAATTAATATTAAATGGAACATCTTTTTTTATGATATGCTGGCAGTGAATACCATAAAAAATGGAACAGGCTTTCCATTGTTTCAATCAATAAGCATTGAAGCTAATTAGTTTGATGCATTTGTAAAGAAAACCCCAATTGCTGTGCCCTCCGAATATTCTAACATGCATGAAATAATAAGATCAAATAAATATTTCATCTTATTATTTAATATGAAAAGGAGTTATTCAGATTATATTGATATAATAAATGAAATAGAGAAAGTAGATCAAGTAATAATAACTGATAATAGATGTAAGAAAGTATGCTATTTTTTTTTAGAAATAATTAAGTTAGGAATACAATATATCAAAAATAAAAATGTAAATATTAATATAAATGCCAAGGAAGAAAAACAAAAAGAATAAAACAGAGACTACAGTTTCTTCGACAGATGGAGATAGTGAAGAAGTTATTAATCAAACAGCAGTTATTGAGTTTGCTTGTCCTATGTGTAAAAAGATGTTAGAACTTAAAAATGAATTAGAAATACAAAAGAAAGGAAATTGTAAATGTTCGTGTGTGCCAGTTGGTTTTAAGGTAAGTAAAACTGATAAGAAAATGAATATTGATAAAAGTAAAGACAGTATCAACTTAGAAACAGATGCACATAATATTACATTTAAATGGGGCAGGCAAGCCACACCATCCGATAATAATGAAAACGAAACTCAACAAACCGTTAAAGAGATGTTGAAAAATTAGGATTTAAAGAGTAGATTTAACATAATTGTACTTTATAAATATATAAATAATTAAATAAATAATTATCTAAATAAATATATAGCAATGTGTGAAAATGAAAATTATACTATTAATGATTTAATGAAGAAGATAACATTAATTGGTAAAAATATCAAAATCTTAAATGATATGATTAAATCCATTGATGACAAAATGAAACCAGTTGAAAGTCAACAACAAAGCAATGAAGAGAAGGAGAAGATTGAGAAACTATTTGAAAAGAAAGGCATAGGCAGACCTAGCGGTGATTATGATACCAAGCGTAAAAAATACTGCGATATGTTAAATAAGGGACAAATCAAAAGTCCAAAGCAACAAACATTAGAATTTTATAAAATTTCAAAAAATGATGATGGAGTATATGTATTATTTGAATAATTAAAATATAATTAATTCTAATAATATGAATTTATTAGAATTATTTAGCAACAATACCTATATAAAATACCTAGTAGTTTGATATTGGAAACTGTGATGAGTTTGACAGAAATCGGGGCATGCTTTTGATAAAATCGGGGAATGATTTTGATAGAATCGGGGAATGATTTTGATAGAATCGGGGAATGATTTTGATAGAATCGGGGAATGATTTTGATTATATCCATACTATGATTATAACATTTATACCCTTATATGTTATAATTATAATGTAAGTATAGCGTTTTATATATTGAAGATAAAATCCTACAAGGCGGGCCATGCCTATTAAAATTGTATGATAAAACTGATGAAACGAAGGGCAAAAAACTACCTTAAAGGAATGTGGGCATTATATGTATATGGAGGAAATTGTAGTCAAACATTGTTCAAGATGTAATAAGTCAAAGAATTTGGATGAATTCACTGAACCTAGAAAATTATGTAATGGATGCATTGAAGATAAACGAGATTATCACAGATGTAAAAGGGCTGGAATTGAAAGAGTGAAGGAAGTAAAAGAACCTACTATAAAATACAAACTAAGAAATTATTATTGCGAAGTCTGTGAATATGAATTGAGACTGTGCAAGAAGAAGGAACACGAACAAACATTATACCATCAAGATAGATTCAGAAGAAAGGAGCATCCAGAAGAATTTGAAAATGAAGAAAAGCCAGACAGAACATATTTTGAAAGTGGTAAGGAGTATTTTGTATGCAATAAGTGTAAAAGCGGAGTTATGTCTTCTCTATGGGCTAGGCATTGTTTATCGCTAGACCATTTAGGAAAGAAATTGTATAAGGAGCACCATGCCCAGTAAAATTTTATGATAAAATAATTTATCATAAGATTTACCATAGGATTTTTTACATCATTTTGCCCGGGGGGTCTTACGGGGCAAAAATAAAAACCGGGCGAGGCCTATTCTAACTAACGGGGGGAAAACACCCGGCGCGCCTGCTCCCGTGGACGTTCGGTTCTATTTAAAAAAGAAAAAAGAAACCGGTTGGAAAAGGTGTTAATGTTTTTGATTGTTCTAGTCTGTATGAAACCCCTAGTTAATAGTAAAATGGATGTAGAGGTTTATATAGGCCTTATGGACCCAATTGAACCAGTAGAACCAGCCGCGATACGTACCCTTGTAGCCCCTATCAGCCTGCCTGTCCCAAGCAACCCCAAAACATCTGGTTCGCCAACAAAATCACCCCGAAAACCTCCCAGGGAAGAAAAACAGTTCCCCCCTCCCAAAAAAACACAACATAAGATTTCCCCTCAAAAACAAAACAACGCAACAAAAAAAAAGAAAGGAAGAGTCCTCTCCAACATCCACCCGAAGAACCCGTTTCACCATGGCGAGGTGCTTGGCCTGCAATTGCGCCGGCAGCTCGGGACTGGGCACCTGCATCGATCCGGCGGCCCTACGGCCAAACGGAGAACCTGTGGTTTCTAAAAAAAAGAAAACAAAAAAAAGCGCAGCTAGATGGATGCGTCTCTTTTTCAGGGTATCCGGTTTGGGGTGGGTTTGAAGGGAAACCAAAAGGAAAATCACTTACTTGTGGAGTCCCCCCAAAAAAAGCCGAACACACACACACAGACACAGACACAGACACACACACACACACACACACACACACACACACACACACACCCACACACACCCACACACACACACAGACACACACAGACACACACAGACACACACAGACACACAGACACACACACACACAGACACACACACACACACACACACACACACGCACACGCACACGCACACGCACACGCACACGCACACGCACACGCACACGCACACGCACACGCACACGCACACGCACACGCACACACACACGCACACGCACACGCACACGCACACACACACACACACACACACACACACACACACACACACACACACACACACACACGTAGACTCTTCTAAGTAGAAAGCGCCTCTTTTTGTGTGCATCTAGAATGAAAAGAACAACCGGCACAAAGAAAACGCCGGCAAGAAGACGACAGAGCACTGGCCACTCAACAAATACAAATGGGGTGCGTGTGTGTGTGTGTGTTCCAATTGGGGAATCTTTCGTAGTCCAGCAACCATTTGGAAGGGCACTCTCCACCAAAATGACTAGCTGGTGTGTGCCGGCGTATCCGAAATCTGTGAACCTCTTGTGCATGAGGTTCACAGAGAAGCAACCAGCAAAACATCCGTCAGGGGCACCAATTATGCCGAATCCCTGGTCTTGCTCCGACATGAGATGAGGGTGGCTGTGTTTCAACGGGAAAGCACAAAAAGGACTTCGAAGGGTGCTCCCATTTCGGCGAACCCATACCGATCTGCCAGCCACTTGGCCATGACTTTTTGGTGGTTGGACCCTTTGGTGGACATCATTTAGGGGATTCATGTCCACCAGCTTGTGAGGTTCGATTCCTCAATCTTCCAATGCCCCACCTCCACGCAAAGGTTGGGCTCAAGGCCATTGATGATGAGCTTCACCGGAATCTCGTACACATCCTTCGCTATCAGGTGACAACTTCTTGCTGCTGAAAAGGGGACGCGACCGGTCGGTGACACCCCCCCCCCACTTTCGGAAGGAAGGCACCTGAAGCAAAGCCCGCAAACCCCGCAAGGTAAGCCGCGGTTCCGGCAAATGAGCCGCTAACGGCCCATACCCCGACAGCGATTCCCTTCCCTTGGCCTATCACAGAAGCGGCTCTTCCCCGAATTTGCACAGCCATGGTTGAAGCTCCACAAAGCTGCTTCGGCAGAATAGGACTTGAGCTCATAGGGACTTCCTAGCTTCCAAGCCGAATCCGCTCGGGGCCTTTCCTGCTTCTTTTGCGCCGCTGACTTTGTCACAAACTCAATACCCACGCTTCGTTCACTTGGCGAATCAATGGGCTTTGCACATTCACTTACGCAGCACCTTGATGTCCCAACTCTATTACACACAAGTGGAATAATAAAAGGTGCCAAAAATGTGATAGCACCTGGATGTTGGAGTCGGCATGCGAATTCAGCGTCTGTCCGGGCCTGATCATTCTTGCTACACTGGCACTTTTTCCGCTGTTTTGCACAGTGTGTGAGTTTGTCCACATGCTGAGCAATGATGGACTTGAACCAGGGGTGGTTGATTTCCCAACAAGGAAAATCCTTGGTTTAAGACTTCCCGGGATGAGTCCAAAACCAAAACGCAAAAAGTGAAGCCCTGCACCAAGCCCCGCAAGCCCCAAACCCTTGTGGCAATTCTTCGGCTTGCGACGACAGGTTTTACGCGCTTTACGCGGGCATTGGCCCAAACCAACCGAGCGCAAGCACCCCGGGGGTTGCCAAGCCGGTACATCATCACAGCTACAAAAGGCTGCTGGGGTTGGAACCAAAGCAGTGGCCGGAGTGCAGCCGGGCAGCAAATGCCTTGGCGGCCGGAGGTTGCTGCCTGAGCTAGGCTTGGGAAAAACTGCTCGCAGCCCATTGTTTGTTGTTGCTTTTTTTTCAGGTGACCTGGTCAGGTTGCAACCAGGCGGGGAAAAACTGTTTGCGCCACTGTGTTTTTTTTTCAGGTGATCTGGTCAGGTTGCAACCAGGAAGAATCAGGGATTCTAGCAGAAATCTCCCGAGTGCCAGGATGGGATGTGCTGCGGAAAGCATCAGCTGCTGCTTTTAACTCCACAAGCGGCAACAATGTGTCAGCACTCTCCCAGAAAGGACCTGGAAGAGGAGCCGAAAGCAGAGAGAGAGAAAAAAATAAAAAATAAAAAATAAAAAAAGAGAGAGAGAGAGAGAGGCTTTGCTTGGCGGCAGTAAATCTTTCTTGAGGCCAATCTTGGTCCGAAAAACCTAAAGGGAGAAGTACTCTTCTTTTAACGAGTAGTCTCCAATGCGGGAGCGCTGGTGTTCATTCATTCGGGCTCCCTTTATATCAACAGCCCCAAAAAACGGGCAGCCCAAACACAAGACACACAGATGAGTGATTTTCGAAAAGGGTGTCCCCTTTGTGGACGGTAAGGAGAAACCACAACCACCAAAAAAAACAAATTTTGAAAAACACCCATGTGCTTTTAGGGGACCCTCAAAACGGTAATGGTGATGTGGCCATGGGTCAAAATCCAAATCGTACCCCCGGTCAACAGTCCAATCCAACCACTAAAATTCAGGTTCTAAGATGGGTGGTGAAAATTCGCCTAGATCCCAACACGGTGTTGACCACCACAGCCATCTGTCCTTTCAGCTTCCCTTTGAGCCAACCCCCCCATCTCCACACCGGGAGTCCCACGTCGCCAGCATGGCCCAAACGGGGAACGGGAAGGTCTCCGCCTCCTTCTTGGCCTGCAGATGATGAGGGTGCGTATCAAAGGATTGTCTCAAAGCAAACAAAAAAAACTCCAAGGGGCGATGTTGGTTACTTGCTGCTCCCCTGCCAAAAGTTTAACTTTTAGTGGTTTAATGGAAAACCCATTAGTTGGCAAACAGTTCAAGTCTCAGTTGTTCAGTGACCCTGGAAAAAAAGGAACCCTTTTTGGGGAAGACCATTTTGAGTGGGGCAGCCACCAAACGAAGAAGAAAAAGAATTGGTGCCACTGAACAACTGAGAAAACACACAAAACAGAACTCCAAGGGGCGATGTTGATTTTTCTGGGATCTTTTTTGGGGCAATCTCCCTGTGCAATCCCAGGGTGTAATAGCAGAATCCTTACAAAGAAACGAAAGATTGTGAGGGTCCACTTATCTATTTTGACACCTATACCCAAGTTTTCAACAAATGTCCAGCTGGGAACGTGTGTGTGGATTGTTGGAGTTGGTACCCGTTTGGGATGTGCTTGACAGAAGAAAGAAAGGGATAACCACCGTTTCTGGGGTCCCCCTGCTGTGGCACCTGTAAAAACCATACAAAAAGGAGGTCCACATGTCGAAATGGGGATTTGGACAAGCAAAATGGCGGTCGTCAATCTGGTTGCCCTTTAAACCAACCCAAACAAGGACCCCAAATCCTCGTTTTTTTCGATTGGCTTCAAACAACAAAACAAAGAACTACCCCCCAAAAATGGCGAGCCACCCGACTGGAGCTTGAATGCAACACCCAACGGATCGCACTCGCACATTGGGAACCTCAGCTTGGCTTGTGGAAGCCAGGGTAAACTGGAGGTTCATATCTTTGTGACAACTTTGGCAGAACCAAAATTCAATGGGTTTCGGGTCGCAATCAAAGCCCGGGTAAGGTGGGCGAGGGACAGTCCCTCTCTCTCTCACTCGCGGGTTCTTTCTCTCTCTCTCGCTTTCATTGGCCTGGTTCTCCACTGCATCTCGGGGTTAGACGAGTTGAAATGTCTAATCAGGGGACTCAACTAATCAGGTCACCCTCCACTTGCCAAACTGGTTGCCTGAAGGTAACCCCAACCCCTCCAAAGTAAGGTACCAAGGCAACCCAGTTGGTGCCCCCAAAGCTACCTCCCCTCGCACCGTGACTTCTCGAAGGACTTCGCAACCCGCGCGCCTTGCCCAACTTGAGGTCCTCCCAGCGCTCCTTGGCGGCCTTCAGCTCCTAAGGCTCGGCTCGGGTGCTTCGCGATCGAGTGGATCGCTTCGCAGTGCGACGGGTGCTTCGTTTGTTCCGAAGCGAACCAAACTGGTGGCACCTCAGCATCTTCACCCTTGGACTGGATGGATAGGGCGAAGCTCAAGTTCGAGCGTTCGCTCCGTTCGCTCGGGTGGATTGGTTTGGATGTGTTGGCTCGCCTGGTTTTGTCTCGCCGTGTCTTCACCTGGTCTCGCCTTGTCTTGTCTGTTTCCTTTTCTCTATTTGTCGCTTTGTTTTTCAGGGTCTAGGAAAGGGATGGTGGCCATACGCGGGCAACCCTGGTGGTTTCGCTTTCGGGCCCCAACAAATTGAGACCGAAGACTTGGTTTCCCTTTAAGCCAGCCTTGACAAGCGCGCCGATGCAAAAAAAAAAAAACGCAAACCAGCGCCGGCTTTTTCGGAAGCGCAGCCCAAAGAAGCAGAAGTGCCGAAAGAGCGCGCAGGCGCATTAGGCTTGCGGAGACCTCCAAATAAGCCAAGGCACGGTTTGCAGGGCTGCAAGGTCCGCCATGAGCGATGCGAAAGCTTGGTGCGGCCTGGCTGTTTGTTCAAGTGAGGTTCCAGCTCGCTGGACTGAGTCTTTGAGTCAACCATGTTCTCAAGATGCCGGTCTCCAGGTAAGCAGAGTTAGCTCAAGCCAGGAACATGAGCTTGAGCCATCCAGGGTCGCGCGGAAGAGCCCAAGTGATCCGGAAGCATCCCATAGCCGACAGCTTCTTGAAACACCATTCGCTTGCAAGAGAGAGAGAGAGCTTGCCCAAATGTCGCTCACCACAAAATGAGCGCAGGCTCGAATGCACGAGCCACGCTGCATGGCGTTGACCTGCTTCAGGTTGGGATTTGTTGCCACCTATAGAAAGAATCTGTAGGGGTGAAACAGGTGCCCTTTGTTGCTTGGGTTGCAACTCCCCCCCAGTAATGGGCCCGACCTCCAAAGGCAGCACTTCACCGGCTTCACCGGGAAGCTTGAGCTGCCCTTTGAGTAGAGCCGCGGCCAATATGCCACATTGGATCTGGGTGAGGAAGCGCATCTCCGAATTGTTCCTGTGGGGTTCGTGTTTCCCGTGTCATTCAGCTTGCTACAAATGACTGCAAGTATTGACCGTTGCGCAGACGTCCCCAACCCCGAGAGGATCAAACCAACCTCTGCACTTTTCTCCTCTTTCGATGTTCCCTCACAGAAGCTGTTCCTTTGCAGCCTCGGGAGGCTACTCCCAGGCCCTTTCCCGAGCAGGAATCAGATGTTGCAGGTTCACTTCAACTTTCTACCTAAACGAAGGAATTGAAATACGTTCTTGATTCTCGTTGTAGTCAAGCGGAAAGATGTCAAATGTGTCCAAACGTTGACCCGGCAAAAGGGAGCCCCGAAAAGGATGGGTCATGTGAAAAAAGGAGGGCTTCTCTTGATCCCTGAGACGATCTGCACAGGGCCTGTTTCTCCCCCCAAGCACACGTACTTCGGAGTCCCTTGACCAAAATAAACGGAACCTGGACGTACTTTTCTTCGGGCAAGGGCCCAGACCCCCCGTTCGCACCCATGTGACACGCCAAGCTGGCGGTCGAGTTGAGTCAAAAGACTCGCGCAACTCCGCGCCCGGACCGCTGCCAGTTGCCTCGTTGCCTCGTTGCCTCGTTGCCTCGTTGCCTCGTTGCCTCGTTGCCTCAGTCGATCTTGATGGAGCCGTAGATCCCCCGCACGAACGTCAGGGTGCTCAGAAAGCCTCGGTTTCGAGACGGGCTGCGCCTTGCCTCTGGCTCCAACAAAAAATGTGCGGCCAGGTTGACATGACGCAGGGTTCAAGGAATCGTTACAACAAGCCTGGGATTTCCTTGTGAGGAAGTGTCACTCAGGATTATAATTTGTGTTTCTCGTGGCATCTTCCGCATGCCAACCCTCTCGCCCTCGTTCTCTGCACAGCCTTCTCTGCTAGGCTCCCCGCCAACTGCGCCGCTAATCAGCGCAAATATGCTGGACATAATGAACATGTACCTGGCTCCCGCACCATCCACGTGGCTGCCAGAGGCGGCGCGTGTCAGCTTGAAACCATCAAGCAAAATGAAAAAACTGGGTGTGAGTCAAAATAGGAACCCAAATTGGAGCCCTGACAAATGAAACCAAGACCTGCGGTCCCCTGCTAAGCCTGCTAGATTGATTTTGACCCATACCCAACTCAAGTAGCTGGATTTTGTCTGTGGGGTTCCCACTCCAAGCGCGCTTGCCAGGCCCCCCAAGCGAAAAAGCCAAGGCACCCGAAGTACATCAGCACAGACACCCAGTGACGAATTTGTAGCCTCGAATTGAAGTACCTGGCCACTCGTGAGGCCGCTTGGGAGAGTCTTCGGAGCACTCTGAGTTTCGGAGATCAGCTTTCACGAATTGAAATCGGGGACCGGTCCCGATCAACATCCTTTTCGGGAGGGTATGAAGTTCAGACTTGCCAGCTTCAGCCTCCCGGCGAAAATCCCCAACGACCGAGGCTTCCCCCGATCCGATCCTTTCCGGGTGGCAAACCACATACGAATAAAGCAATCAAGACTAACAAATCATGGGATACGTTCCATGAACGTAAAGGTGTTTTGAACACCAAAACCAGGGCTTTAAGCAAGTAGCTCAAGTGGTGCTTGAAGCAAATGGCTCACTGCGTCCAGTAGGCCCAAATTGAGTGTTGTGGGAAATCAAGCCATCTGCACCGGCAGCTTAGTGCGAGAGCGTAATCCGAGTTTTTGGACAAATCCGCCGCTGCCGCTTGGTACGAAATCGATCCTCGCAGAACATCCCACCCTGCTTTTGGAGAAGGGCTCCGACGACCCAACAAACCTGGCCCCAAAAGGCATGCCAACGCATCTGGTTGGGGCAACCAAATGAGACGCCCGGAAAAGGGATGAAATAGCAAATCCAAGGGGGCGGCCAATCAGCTTCCATTGAAGAGGGTGGCAAAGCCAGGCACTGGTCCTTGTGGGAACCCAAAAAATTGGCTTACGTGCTTTGAGGCTACCTGGTTTTTTGTAAAGGGCAACTCGTTGCCCTTTTACGCACCATACCCGAATGGAGCCCCATCTATGAATGTCTTGTTTCAAGGTACCCTTCCCGGGTTTTTTGGGGTTTCCCAAAGCAAACCAGGGCTTCAAGCCGGAGACAAACATACCAGAACAGCACAGAGCTATTTGTTTAGGATTTCCCATCGACCCCATAGCCTCGGGGAAAAGGAGCCTTCAAGAAACCGAAAGCAAACCAGGCATGGCGAGAGCCGGAGGAAAGGCGCACATGATGGAATACAGGAAGACATAGAGCCCAGAGCTCCCGGACGCACAGAACGACGTCCACCACCACCTGTAGTCCTGGCCACCGTTCTACAGTTGCCCTGCTGGACATTGGCAAATTCGGGAATTCCATGGTTTTGCTGGTTGAGATTTAGTGCTCGCCCTGCCAATGTCCCTCACAAACGGACCATAGACTGCTGGATGGTTTGTCCAAACCTCACATGCGTAATGTTGACCCAACATGGCAAATGCTTAGATGGGCAACTGATTGATGAACTGGTCGGCAGCTAAGCGCAGGTGGCAACAAGAAATGACGTATGTCACAGCTTCTCACATGTCAATGTCTCCAAATAGGTCCGCCCCCTCTATCAGACGAAAGCACCGATCTGAAATTTCCTTTGTTGTGTGGACACGGAAAGCAAACAAGGTAAACCGTTGAATTTCACCTCTCAGGCGCTCCCACCTTGCGTTATCCCGAGTCGGTAGCTCTTCAGTCAGGAATCTGAGGCTCCTTCTGGGCAAGTTATCTTCTCCTTTGGCCCTTGATGGGAATATATTTGTTGCTGGGGGTAAAAAAAGAAGTGCTATCCAGCAACTGTTGAAGGTTGTGGTCGAACCCAAAACTGGCTGAGCCAACCCCTGGAAACTCAAGTTCAACTTCTTCTTTGCCTGTTTCAAAGTGTTTAATTACAGGCAAATCTACAGGAAATGGCCCCAAAACACCCGTAAGTAAGTGTCCTGTAGAATTTCCTGCAACCCAACCCTTTGACTCTTGTTGAGTATTTTGCAAAGGCTAAGAAGCGTTGGTTATTAACCCAGGGCCCAGGGTTCCCTGCATCCCTTCAACCATCACCCTACCAAAAGGAGACTCACTCCAAATCGGGAGTGATACGTAAAGTCGTCAAAAGCTGGCAAGATACAACCCACAGAAACCCATCAGAGCCACCAAAACTGGCCTCATGATCAAAGCCACCCCCCAAGTGATGGGTTAAAAAGAAACAACCAACCATTTTCTGTCTTTCAAGCGCCCCTAGAAACGGACAGAATCATGTCCCACGGCCAAAACGTCAAAGAGTGCCTCGGAGGTGAGCTGGAAGTAGGTCAGCGCGATGGAGATCTCTGCGCAGGTGATCAGCACGATGAGCAGCACCAGCGACAGGAACCCGAAGAGGTAATAGAACCTCGGGGTCCGCCAGGGCCCGGGGGCGGTGGTTGGAGGGTTCAGGGGGTGGGGGGGGTTTCAGGGTTGGGCGGGGGGTTGGAGGGTTGAGGGGGTGGGGGTGTTCAGGGTTGGGAGGGGGGCGGGGAGGAGGAATCAATGGATTTAGGAGGGTTGGGCTGGAGGGGTGATTGGGTTCTGCAAAGCCAAGGGCCGAATCCCCACGGCCCAACTCCTACCCTTTCGGAACGGATTTGGCTTGCACAGCAAACCCAAAAGACACCACGTGGCCAGGGTCAATGGGACGGTTCGGGCTTTCGTAGCAGTGAGTTCCCAGAACCCCACATGGACCATAGACAAGTTGGGTGTGGCTCGAGGCCGCAGGTGTTAGTCTTTGCTTTACCAGGGCCACACCCAAAAATCAGAGAGATTCTGACTGACCCATGGTCACTGGGGCAAAGTTGGCTGGGCGCCTCGAGTTAAGGTGGGCTTCTCCTCGCTTTCCCATCTCTGTTTTGAGTTGCGGGGGAGAAAACACCCTTCCCAGGAAACATGTGAGATTCCACCCTGAGGCTTGAAGGAGAACCAACAAAATATTATGATTGATGTTAATAGCAAGAAAGAAGTCGTCCAGTTCTCGTCCAGTTCATTCGTCCGTTCTCTCTGAGCGCCGTGCTCATGGAGCCATATGGAGGACATGATGAAGAAGAGCTCGGTGAACCTGAAGTCCACGACTCGGAGCGATTCAGCTGTTGGGATAGATAGGCAATGGGACACCAAACCAACACAGGGCGCCGCATCTGGTTTTCACCTTTGACAGTTTTTATTGAGGCTACCTGTATTCCGGGTTATCTCACGGGAAATCAACCGCAAAAACCATCTGTTCAGATTTTGCTCCATTTGGAGAACCCTTCCCCAAACCTGGGCTGCCCTCAGATCCCCTGCTAAAAGTTTAACTTTGAGTGGGTTAAATGGAAACCAGCACTAAGCACGAAAAGGCTAAAAGGCTAAGGAACCGGACGGCTGGGAGCCGCCAAGAAACTTCTTCCCCCCCTGTCGGTCTGTCTCCGGCTTTGGGCGCCGAACACCGCACCAAAGGGCAGGATGCCCCCAACCAGCGACGTGGCGAGTGGCTGCATGTACCACGGCCTCGGGCACTGCTTCGGCCGCAAGCCGCAGGTGGCGGCTGGCTGCGCCGGACATCCCAACAGCGTTTAAATGAACCTTGGGGCTTTGGTTGGCTGTGAAAGGAGCGACCCTGGAGTAACTGTAGAGACATTAGCTTAGATGGCACTAAATGCCTTGGGACAAACTATCGTCCAATTGCTTCAGGTACCCAACACCACAAAAGCTAGGAGCTCCCCTGTGGATTAGCATGGAACACCACACAACTCCCTTTGTAGAGACTTCCTTTTGAGAAACTGACCCCTCTTCTGGATCCGCAGAGCAAATGGAACTAGTTGATACCACTTGGAGTTGTCCTGGGTGCAGAGACAACATCTTCATCATGGCCTGGTGGTGTGGACCTGACAGGGCACCTTCTCTTTTGGCTTCAATAGGACCGGGGTTCCAACCCCAGTCCAACCAGCGACTTCACCCCAAGTCTTGCAGCCCAACTGGAGTGCTTCTCAAAGACGCCCAAACAAAATGATAGGTGTCCTTTGGGATGCCCTCTGGAATAATGAAAAGGGGTCCTCAATTTAGGGAGCTGGTTTCGGCAAATGGAAACCGAAAGGAAACCCGAAATCCACTTTGGGGGGGTCCCAGGGGAAAAAAAGAAGAAGAAAAAAAGTCGAGCCACCCCGCGTTGAGAAAACACGACGCACTCCCGAGGCCGCAGCTGGTCCGGGATCGCACGCGGGATCTGCAACAGGAAGCGCTTTCACGAGAGGCTCGTCGACGTGACCCCAAAAGAAACCACCCTCTGTGGTGTAGGGAATGCCCAAAACCGCTTTATTCCCGACACCCGGAACGTCATTCCCCACCGAGCCGCAGCAAAACAACAAAAACCGACAAGCAAAAAAAGAAACAAGCAAACAAGCAAACAGGCAAACAAGCAAACCAGCACGCAGCCTGGCCCGCACACTTTTTGGTGTTTGGCAGAAATCCCGGAGGCGAAGCCATGTGCCTGGTTGGTCCGCACCGGCATCTCCATCCTCTCCCTCTTGAATCCTGCGAGGAACATCCATCTGAAGTGTCTGCTACCACCATCCGCACATGTCTCTCTTTTTCTCTCTTCTTCCTTTTTCTTCGGGGACACCCCAAAATGGCGGTGTTGCTGTTGGCTCCCCGTTTAAAACCAACCACAAGAGGGTTCCCTAGAAACAGAGCCAGGCCCATTTGCCCCACGCCACCTTCGGCTTGGGTGAAAAACCAAAGCGCGCGCTCCGGTATACGCGCCGAAGAAGACCAGCGGCACGGACACTCCGAACCTGGAAGTCCCAGCTCTCTTTGCGAAGGAGTGAAACACCAAAGTCGGGCGACATCGTTCCATGAGACGTCGATTCGGCCATGGGTCAAAATCTAAATTTCGTACCCCCGGTGAACATCCGATTCAATCCAACCACTAAAATAGGAAGCCTAAAATGGGTGGTTTTGTTCTCACCTACACCAAAATGGTACCATTGGTTTGGACCCACAGCCATTTGACTTTGAGGATTCACTTGCAATTCAGGCCCGGAACCAGCCGCCTTTTTCACCTTCAAAAGGCTCCCAAGGCCTCAGTTGACTTCCCCAAGTACTGCAAAATAACCATGAACCGGAAATGTCAGAACACCCTGGTCCGTGCTTTCAATCATCAGGGACCAACTGGGAGGAAGTGTTCCGAAAAAGTTGGGTTTGCCCATGTATCAAGCCTTGTCAAAACCTGTGGAACCTTCTTCTAAGCCACACATGAGTGTCGCTACAAAATCAAATCGGGGGAAATTCCAAACTGGACTGGTGTTTCAAGAGAGAGCCAGCCCTCAAACAAAGGAGCCTCACATGCCACATGTCTGCTTGGCCAAAGCGTTGAAAAAAAGAAAACTGCCTTTTTCCACCCAGAGCCAAACCAACCTAGAGGGAACCCTTGGCCACTTTCGGCTTTCTCACCAGGCCTAACCAGGGTTCCCCCCAAGGTGATATTGAAAGCCACCCAAGCATGGCCCACATCTGGGGCTGCAGTTACATAAAATGCAAATGCAAAGTGTACCAATAATATACCCTCAACCATCCCAAACCAACTAAAGGAGAAACCTGGCCTTTGAACCCACTTCCCCAGCGTGTGTTTGCTCCCCCAGACGAAAAAAAAAAAAAAACACGGCGCCCAGCGCTTACGAGCGAGAGACGAGCGAGAGATCGGCAGATCGGCGCCCTGGGCCCCGGCCACAGCACCAGGATCGCGAAGAGCGTGGTGAAGGCCACGGCCCCCGAGGACTGCGAGTGGACGCCCCCGTCCGGTGGGGTCCAAAAGGCAGCTGGAGACCGCAGAAATTCGATCGGTTTTGGTCTACGAAACCGCGAAGTAAAAAAATCGAGAAGGTTGCCGGGGGGAAAGAATAAAGGTTAAAGCCGTGGTCGAAAAAGCGTGGAACTGGATGTGTAAGCCAGACAGGGAATCATCTGGTTTCGGGAGCTTGAAACTCCAGCGTAAGTCCTGCTGGATTCTATGTCTCGTTTGTGACCCCCGGAAAGTACAGCCCTGAGGGAGCGGGGACCCGGAGAGTGCTTCCTCGCCGCTTGTGGGGGGGCCTTTTTTGATTTCCGGCGAGACTTGTTTTTGTCATTTTGGGAGAGTACCATTTGGGGGTGGGGGTAGCTGGGGAGCCGACAGGAAGCCAACCTTTTTGGGGGGAACCACTTTAGGGGAAATGGACCGCCCAAAGACGCAAGAGATAAAGCGAGCCACACCCCATGAGGCTTGGGTGCTCTGGCAGAACAGAAGGCCGGATGTGGTTCAAGGACGCCATAAGAAAAGAAACACAACAACCTGTCTCCCGCGTCCCTCCCAAATGGACCATAGACCATAGACTGCTGGGGTTGTTTCAGTAAACTTTTTCCTGAAAATCGCTTCGGGGCTCGGGGCAGGTGGCCTCTCAAACTGACCCTTTTTGGGTGGCACAAAACCAGAAGGAAAACCACTGGTTTTCTGGCATGAACGGCGGGCGGGCCATCGGGCCTTCTCTCCCCAAATGCAAAGGTTCAGCACGAAGAAGATGGAGAAGAAGATGCCTCGGCGTGAGGCAATCTGAACAAAACCAAGAGAGAGACATCGGAAATTGGATCGCGTTGGATGGATTCCACAATGGACTTTGGATTCCGCCAACATGGTCGCATTGTTTTAACTACTACTTCGGCCAGCGGACACTTCGGGGCATGAAGCGCGGCTCTTCTCCCTGCAGCCACCCCCCGCTTCTTTTCGTTCGCCGCACCCAGGAAACGAAACCCGAAAAACCCGCAACCCGACGGGCGGAACCAGATCGCCTGGGCTGTGGGTCAAAAACAGGGTAACCCTAAAATGGCTTGCCCTGCTACATTGAACTCCTGGACTCAAGTTCCTGCGAATGGCTTGCCCATTCTAAATGGAACCATGGACTCACATTCCTGCGGCCCATATCCGGGGCGTCATTTTGACCCATGCCCGCCTGGGAAGAGGAAGGCCTGCAGCATGGTGGTGGCCTTCCAGCGGCCCTCGTCGCCGTCGAAGACCTCCGCCCGCTGTCGGAAGGCGCGGGGAGACGTGGCCGTGGGTCGAAAGCCAAATCGCACCCCCAGTGCCCCCACTAAAGGTTCCAAAATGGGTGGTGAAAGTGAACATCAACCAATTTAACCACTAAAACAGGAAGCCTGAAAAGGGTGGTGAATTCACCTGCCAACCAAAATGGGATCCCAAAACGGTGTTGGCCCACAGCCACATCGGAAAAAAGACGCGACAGGAAATGCGGGTGGCGGCTCTTCAAAACGACAAGCCTGGAAAAGGGAGAAGCAACGGGGAAAAAAAGGAAGGAAAAACACGCACACGGAAGCGAAGCGCTTGGAAAGGGGGTGGAAAGGGGCTGTTTGCAAAGCCTCAATCTGAGATCTCAGACTCCGGGTATGTCAATCTTGAATTGTTCTGTTGGCATGATACAAAAAGAAATGATGTGGGAACATGCCATGTTGCATGTCCCTAGGCGTGTCCAAAAATCAAACATCCTTTTGGATGTCTTGGATGCCCATCGAAAGGAGCGTCCAAATCTACCTGATGGACCTGTTAAGGGTCCACGGTTTGGACCATCCCTGACTTTGTTGGACACCCAGCCTCAAGCGTGCGACTTTGAAGGGAATTGCCCTTGTCTCTTGTTGTTGTTCTTGCTCTTGCTCTTGCTCTTGTAGTTGCCATCTTTGCTCAACCCGGGATTGTCAGAAAAGTATTGAGCCCCGCTTTAAACCCTGCGACATATGTCGCCAGGTGCTCTTCTGGTTGGATCCTTGTGGCACCAAACAAACAAGCAACATGGGCATAACTTTCGAGACCGTGGGTGCCCTTCATATGCAGTTGCAACCTTCGCATATTCCCCTGGGGCCCACCTCTGGGGTCCAATGAAACAAACACAGATTCTGCTTCAACTGTCTACCGGAAGAAGAAAAAAGCTTGGAGGAAACTTTTGCTTTTTTCTAGAGGAAAAGACTACGAACCACCCGCGGCCACTGTTGATTAAGAGGGAAAGACCAAGAACCCACGGCCAATCACTCCCCCCTTCTCCGCCTTGCAGAGACGGGCTGCCGTGTAGCCCCCCAGCACCCCCATGAGCGTAAAGAGCAGCATCATGGACTGCAGCAGACCTCGATTCATCGATTCGATCCATATGCGTGTGACCCCTTCGTGCGAGAAAGGAGCATCCTCTGTTGATCGACTCGCACAAAAATGGGCAACAGGGGTGACCTACGAAAACCGGTCAAAAAAGGGGTGACCTACGCAACCCGGTCAAATGATTCCGTGGGGGAAATACATCGAGTCACAGTAAAAACCTCTTCAAATGGACCCAAACTCAGTGGCTTGGACTGCCTTGCCCAAATTGTCCTATGGATTAGCCCCCTGCCCTGGAGCATCTTGGGTTTCCCTGCGACCGTCCAAAAGTCGCCAAGTAGAGGGGGCCATTTCAACATGAGAGCTGAGGCTCGACCCTCTCACCCTTCAGGACCTCTGACCTCATTTTCCCCCTTGCGCCTCTCCGGACCCATCCCCCGGTGAACCATGTGTCACGCTCGCAGCCAGAACCGCAGCCAAGAAGATGGAAAGGGCTGTGGGTCAAAAATATGGTAACCCCAAAATGGAATCCTGGTAAATGGAAACCTGGACTAAGATGTGCGGTTTTGTGGTGGTCTAATTTTGACCCATACCCACATGCTCATTCAGTCCTCCCGTTGCATCCCAACAAAGGGCTGCTCGGCCCGAGGCTCAAAGCAGCGGCTCCGCCGCCTTGTTTTCTCTGCCCGAGGCAAGGGCTGCCACGCTGCGCGGGGGACAGGAAGCCCAAGAGGGCGAAGACCAGGGTCACCTGAAACCGAAGGCTCCGTAGCTTCCATCGCGTGTGCCACTCAAATAGTAACCCGGCCAACAAAGAACACGCCTAAGAACTCCGGGAGTGAGACTGTTCCCCACACATACGTTGGTTCTTTTGCGAAACAACCCAGATTCCCATATGTTGGGCCATCTTCCAGAAGGATCCTAGTAAGAACGCGGGTTCAACTGGCATGTTTGCCTGTCTGACCTGTCAGCATTTGGCAGTCGCCACATGCGAGGAGGGCCGAACCGATTTGGGAGGTTCTCAACTGGTGGACCCCATTTGCCTGGTATGTAAAAGGAAACCACACGGAAACCATTTTGTCAACACCCCATGCAAAGTGCAATATCTCTTTCCCTAGCCAGCCGGTCTCTTTCAACATGGTGGAGTTGTCCTTGTGGTGTCCCTTCAAAACCGTCAAAAAGAGGTACCCTCTACAACAGACGGACCCAAGTCATATCTGAGTGGGGCCCCGACCACAGACATGCCCAGGAGCTGCGTGCCAGATCCTGCCATCACTGACAGGAGAGTGGAGTAGTTCGGCTTCCGGAAGACATCGCCGTGCACGAGTTTCCAGCCTGACTTCGGTCTCAACTGCCAATGGGACTTGTTTGGGCTGGTCCCTTGGCTTCTTGCTGGGGAAAAAAATAGAGCTCCCCCATGTCCCTCCCAAAGCAACCATTGCCAGTAACTCTTGAGACCGAACCTCACCTTCCACCTGGGAAGGAGTCCATCGGAAAATCACTGAGGGGGTTGACATCCACACCTATGCTCGGGACTGTCTAGCACAGGTGTAAATAAGCCAAACATCGGCCAAACAAATGCAAATGCCCCGGCTGAAGCCCGCGACTCCTAGAATCCTAGGACCTTCCTTCTTTTGTGAAGGGCACGTGGTCCCTCGTCTGTTGTATCCTCCCGCAGATGCGGGATGCACATCCGAGGGACTTGATACAGCCCAGGCCCGCCTGTCTCCTCCTTGGCTTCCTCCTCCGTGGGAACCTGGCCAAATCCCCGCCAAAGCGGGCTGCCCCCCTTGGCTTCGGAACCAGAGGAAAACCAAAAGCTCAGCCGGAGAAAAAGGCCTTTCTCACCTCCATGAATGGCTGTGGGTCAACACCCTGTAATCCTGGTGAACCTCAAAATAGCTGGTACATGGGTGTTCAGCCGCCCCAAACTGGAGGCATAGGTTATGACCCATGGCCAAATCTCAAGAGCCCACTTGAAAATGGCTGGGCTTGAGTCCCCATGTAAGAAAGGTCGATTCTACGTGCCGCATTTCCTGGAGTGCGCAGGGCCAAAAATAAATGCGAGCCACCTAAGGGACATGAGAAAAATGAGGGCTCGGCCCATGGTTGTTTGCCGGGGAACTCAGTGAGCCATGCCCCTCCCGAGTGGACCAAGGATTCTGAGTATTTTTGTTGACCGAACCTCATGTGTCAAATTCGGGGGGCGTGGCCTGGTTGTAGGTCGCAATGTCTCTGTGCAACGTGCGCAGGAGGATCATGGCAACCATGCCAGACCTCGCACAAACTTGACATGAGAATCATGAGTGCGCCCAACATCATTTCTGCTATTGCTGCTGCTGCTGACGACGACGACGACGACGACGATGATGATGATGGTGATACTCTCAGGCGGCGGCAGGAAGAGAAGGATCATCAGCGAGTTGAGAATGGCGAACCAGTGAATCTGACTTTGGCCCTGCCTCGGTGCACCAAGCAAGAATTCAAGTCAGTATTGGACATTTGTTCGCTGCAATCGAAGACTTCCCAACTTCCCCACCACATACCCCTCACCCCTTGAAGGTCATCTGGACTGCCCCTTCCAGGGCGCTGGCGTTTTCAGGTACGAGTCCCAGCGTAACACCCAACCTCGACACCAAAACACGGGCAAGCCACAGTCGATACTCAGCAAGCGCCCCTCTGACTTTGGACGTCTGGGTTGCTCTAAGCCCCCCAAACGAGGAAAACGTCGACCTCCTTTTGTGGCTTTATGGGAAAGCCCTTTGTGTCCAAAAGATCTCTCCTTTGTAATTCAAAGACCAGCCATGTGGAGGTGTGACCATTACTTCCCAACGCCAAATTCTTGCTGCCCCTGGCATTTCCCACACAAGGCGATGGTTGAGCTCCGAGGCATCCCCAGCGCCAGCTACTATTGGGGGAATGTCAGGTGAGCTAACCCCAAGGCCTCTCAAGCCTGGGGTTCTACCAAGTTGCACCAACAAACTTCAGAGGCTTCTTTGGGCCTTGAAATAACCCCACTCCCAAAAATACGGGTGAGGCTTAAATAGACTGGTGTTTTTTGTGGGTTCCCTTTAAACCAACCCAGTGACGTCACTGGGAGCCAGGCGCACGTCGCTCTCCTTCCAAGCCACTGAGTAGCTGAACCTCGGTATATGGCCATGGGCCAAAATCCAAATCGTACCCCCGGTGAACATCCCAATCCAACCACTAAAATAGGAAGCCTAAGATGGGTGGTGAATTCACCTAGCAACCAAAATGGGATCCCAAAACGGTTTTGACAACCACAGCCATATGGCCTTGTCTTCACATGGTTGACCCTCAAAATGGCCACGACTTCTGTTGGTTTCGCGAGAAAAGCCCAACCAAAAACGGGGACCTGCCACAAAAACACACGCAAAAAGCCATACAGCTGTTGGATTTGCTCTGATTGAAATCTTCCAAATGGTTGGCATCCGTTGGGCCTGCCTTTGGATTCTCGCCTTTGGATTCCCTCAGTTTTTCTTCCTTGAACTGCTTTGCGGATTCCTTTAGGGTTTCTGTTTGGCTGCTTCGGGCCTGCTCTTGGCCTGGCTCCTGTCTTCTTGTTCGCTTCTGGGTGCCTTGGTGTTTCCGATCCCCAAGTTCCAGGTCTAAAGTCCCAAGCATGGGGACTGGTTGGCGCCGCGGTTCGCTGTATCAGACCGTCTGAAATGTGGCCCTTGCAGACAAGCTAGCACGGTCAGCATGCATTGTGTTTTTTTGATCGCACAGTGAGGCCGGGCCCTACCCAATTCAGGCTTGCCTTTGGCCCCAAAGCCCTGGCCAAAAACAACGAGTCTTCCCCACTGCCAAAAGGGAAGCCTCGCCTCCGTTTTTTTCGCCCGCCCGGATTTTGGGGAAAACCCCCACCGCTGAGGTGATCGCACGACATTTTCGGCGCTGTCCAGGTCAAAGGGCACGGGCTGCGGCGAGCAATCTGGCTCCCCATTCTTCCTGGCGACTTTACGCCAGCAAAAGCGGTTGGGGTGGAAACAAAAATCCGGGATCCCCAAAATGGCCTCCCCCTGGCAAATGGAAACATGGACTGAATCTGTGCTCTGGTAGGCAATAGGTTTGATCCATACCCAAGTCTCAGGTCATGTCTGGGTGCCCCGTTGAAGAGAAAATCCAGATCACTTTTGGGGGAAAGCACCCCAAAGAATCCACGTTGATCAATTCGTGGTCGACATTGCCGTGGTGGACAAAATCCGTTACGAGTTGATGATTCCCAGATTCACAGGGCTTCCTGCATCCCCGCTGCAGAATTGTGTCCATCATAGCATGGCCACAATAAACCAACCATGATATGACCGGCTGTCCTCTTATACACAAATTATTCCATTGTGATCATCACTAAATTTGCATGTACCCACAGCCACCTTCAATTCTTCTGGGCCCTTGCCGTGCCCTTGCCAGCGAGTTCTAACCCATCCGCTGAAAAAGTCGTGCCGGCGTCACGGCGTGGCGGAGCGCGGCTCAACCTGGCGAGATGCCCCGCAGACTGGCCCCCACAAAATGGATGGTATTTAGAGGGAAGCCAAGAACCCACCAGTGTGTCATAACGAATCATCCGGGCTGGCACCAGTGCAATCTGGTGGCCCTTTGCAGATGTTGCGGCCATCCAGGGTGTCCCAGACTCCCCTAGCTGTGGGCCTATCCATCCACAGTATTCAAAAACCTGCAACAACAACGGGTTGGGTGCCCTGGTCAGATGAACCCCTCTTGGCTCAGGAAAGAAAAAACAAAAAAAACATGTAATCATCTCCCACCCGCCTCGAAGCCAACGATGCGGTAGCCCTGGTACTTCTCAGGGTTGGAGTGGTAGTGCAGCTCCTGCACAGGTCATGGTTTCGTCCAGCGCTGTTGGCTCCACAAAAAAACAAACGGCTGTTTGCTTGATGGTGTCTAATACTAGAACTATAGCTTTTCGGTATCAAAACGCAACGTGTGCGTGTGCGTGTGTGTGTGTGTGTGCTTAAATATAGCCTCATAAAACGCCGTGATTTTTTCATAGAGCCCAAATCCTGCAGCCCTGAGTGGCATCCCCGGAACCTTAACGACGCAACCCTGAACACGTCCGATTGGCCATTGGGCGCCCCAAACCCAGCATTCCAGAGACATCGCAGTTGGGCAAAAAGCGAAAAGCGCAAGCAACAAGAAGAAGAAAAAGAAAAAAAACGACACGCCCCAGATCTGCAACCGATGACTCACCCAAGTCAAACATCGAGGCTGACACAGCTTCATGGTGGTGGGACCCCTGCACATGACTCACCGCCCACAAACGACTCACCCCCTCCAGAGACACGTGGTTGTGCAGGTAGTACTTGCCGCCTTGGGCCAACCCCACCAAGAAGCCATTCATGTACTGGAAGTCTGAGCCTGGGCGAAGACGAAGGTGCAGTGGATTGGCAGTTTCCAGAGCCAAGCACATGAAAGTCGCTTGAGGCATGCGCTGTCTCACGTTATGGCCTTTGACTTGGGAAAACGGGTTTGCTGCCCTTTGATTCGTGGGTTCCAATGCAAAAAACAATCAAACGCGCGCCTCAGCCGGCACAGTTTCTGCACCAAGGAGCCTGTCTGGCGATATCTGGTGGCTGCCGGCAAGTTGTCCACCATCCAGTTCACCAAATATTCGTCGGCGATCATGTTGCGAAACTTCTCCTGTGAGAATCCACTCGGCTCCGCTTCTGTCGGAGGCTGTGCCGAAAACTGACGAGGGCAGGAAGTGCAAGCGTGCTTCACGAAAACAAGGGGGGAAACAGCAAGGGCGGACAAATTCCGCGTTCCTGCTTCCTGCCGCTCTCCTGCAAAAACGCATTGCGCATGTACCCGGAGATAAATGGCTGTGGGTCTGTAATCGCAGTGAACATCCCAATCCCCACTAAGATAGACTAAAATGGGTGGTGAATTCACCTACCCCTAAAATGGTACCACTGCTCTTGACAACCACAGCCAAATGATGGGTGTCATTCTGGCGACCGCGTTTTTTTTTTTCCCCACGGGGAGCTAAGGACTCCAGCTCCAAGGACCTCTCTCGCTCGGACTTCTCCTTCTCCGCCTTCTTCAGCGGCTTGTCGCACAGCTTCTCGCAGGTCTTCCACTCCTTCATGGGGTGCCAGTCAAGCCCTTGAGAAAAACCATGCGGCGGAGGGAAAAAGAGCATAGTTCTAGGGGTTGAGTCCTTCTCCATTCTTTTCAACCGTCCTTTTCAAAAACCAGCTGTTTCCCTGGGTTTTTCATGGTTTCCTGAAAAGAAGGATCACTGGAAAGAATGGGGAAGGTCGCCCTAGAATATTGCGATTTGAACAGCCTCCTTTTCGCTCTCGGCCAGGCGTTGGAAAGGTGGCCCAACCCTGTCACCAGCAAATGCAGGATGCCTTTGGAGGGGACCAGCGTCGTGTCTGGTTTCCCCGCCTTCAACTTGATCTTGAACGGCGACGTCCTTAGACATCGCGCATGGCAGCAGTTTGCCAGGCGGACATTGGGAGAGTTGGCATTTTGCCCGAACCCCGCCCCATCCCCCCAAAAAGCAATAGACGAAGAAGCCACCCCCCCCACCAAAAGGAAGAGGAGGCAGAAGCTTGAATGGCAAAACCGTTCTGCCCAAAATGGGCTGTTCGGTTGCCTTCCATTCATGAAACCTTTTGAATGTGTTTCCCCATCAGGGAGCCCCCGCATGCCCTGGTTCGTTGTCGTTTCCCTTTCAAACCCTGGCCTGCTGAGCTGGCGAGCCATGAAAAAACCTGGCCAAAGCCCAAGCTTGGCCAAGAGACATGAAGTTCTCGCCTGCAACCGGACAGGCCCCAAGCTTTCAATCTGTTAACCCCAGTGCAACCCGTCTTCTGCCACCAGGATCATGGTTTCTTTATAAAAGCCATCAAGCCTTTCAAGGCCCTGACACCCCCAAAAAAAGTAAAAAACACCTTCAAATGGCAATAAACCGCTTGCTTCAGACTCAGGGCCTCCAAAAACCACCCAAAGCGTGTCCCGTTTTCCCTTTGGCCAGGGCGCTCGATGACGTCGCCCATCATCTGCTCCCCGAGGTTCTCGGTGGTCGCCTTGACACCGTCTCCAGGCCTTGAGTCCGTCCACCGAATTGCCCAAAAACTCCATGGAAGGGGCGAGGGGGGGGGGGGGGGGCGAATACCCGAAAGGCGCTGTAGAAAAAGCTCAATGGAAGGGGGGGGGGAAAAGCGGCAAAAAGCCAAAGGCACGGGGGGGGGGGGGGCAAGAAAACGCGCTCGAAACTTCAGTTCATCTGACTTTTGTTGAGCTAGTTGACATGTGTCTCTCAGAGCCAGGGCGTGCGCCAATTGCGGGTGCACACCCAGTATCAACTTGCGCTCAGCTCTTTGAGGCCCCTGCGTGCAATAGGCCAGGGTATAATAGCTATACGGGAGCTGGGTTTTGGCCGAAGTCAGCTTATTCACCTCGCTTGCGCTCGAGCTTGCGAGCCCGAGCTCACTCCATGAATGTTCATCCGAATATGACAAAACATACCGAACGATCCCCAAACTACACAATTCAGCCCTACCACTGGCCCTTGACGGCATACTGGCTTCCCCTTTCAAAGCAGCCTTCATGTTGATTCTCCGCGAGCGACTCGCGAAGTCACAATCTACTCTTCCCCAAACGAGTCAAGGATTCCTCTAGAATGGGCTCCCCCCTGTTTAATCAGCCAGCTTATTCATCCCAAGTTCCCATCAGTTGGATTTCAAGCCCTCAACTACAAAACTCCCCACCCATGGCTCATTTCTTCTTTCATGTCCACCTTGTTCTTTGCCTTAAAAAAGACAACCCTTTGCGCAAAACAGTTTTGAAACAAAAAACAAAAAAAGAAGAAGAGACGCCGCGGTTTTCGCCCGCCTCCCGTCTTCGCCCCTTTTCGAGGGGTTTTTGGGGGGCTTTCAACCGGCAGATCCATCGAGAGATCGGTCGCGCCTTCAGCTCCACGGCGTCTTGGTCCTCATATTCCTGGAAGGCCGAACCCGAGCCGCCGCTGGAAGCTGGGAGGAAAACCAAAAAAGGAGAGGAAAACCGACGTGGTTCTTTTTTGGGGTCTGCTTTTTGTTTGTGTGTGTGTTTGCTTGTTTTGTTTGGTTTGTCCCAAGAGGTCTTTCTGAGATGCGAGGTGTGAAACCGGCGTTTGGGTTGGTATTTGGATCCCGATGGCTGTTGGTGCAAAAGGAAGTCTAAAGGTGAATGAAAAAGACCAACCTTCAAGGAGTAATTTTGAGATGAACCCTCCCGGAAATGGTATGGTCCCTTTCCCCCAAAAAGAATGTCCTCCACGAGTGTGTGTGTCCTTTGTGTTGTGCGTTTTGGTTGGGACAAAAGGCCGTCCAAGGCAAACCAACCATTTTGAAGGTCTTTTGAGACCAACCCACCTAGCCCAAAGCACCCTATGCCCAGTCGCGTGCACGGTCAAAGCACCCCATGGTCAAAGCACCCCATGCCCAGTCACCTGCAATGAGTTGCTGGAAATGCAGGTGCCATCCACCCAAAACATCCGGCAGTCACGCCTACCCACCTTGCTTTAAACTGGGACAGGCGCACCCCTCCGTACTTCGGCCCAAAAAGGGAATCCAAACGAAAAACGAACGAGGATTCATCCTCAACAGTCAACAGCTGCCCCATTTCCCTACATGGGTAAAACTCTATTGGGCACAGCGAAAAAAGCGGCGCACCACAAAAGCCTTGTATCTATGTCCACACATAGAACGCCAAAAAAAGGAGCCTCATGATTCCAGGACTCGCCTTCAGCCTCCACCGTGCAAAACGGGATCTTTTCGTCCGAAAAAGTGGGGGCACGGCTCTTCGGGACACCGAACCCAAAACGAGCGCGAAACGAAAAAAATACAAAGGGTGCCTTTTCCTGGCGCCCCGCCAATCATCTCCGCGAAAATCCGACGCAAAACGGCGCAAAATGCACAGGCACGCGCGCTCCGTGGGCGCGAGGCCAGGCAGGTAGAAGGACTGGGCCACAGGAAGCCATGCACCTGACAGAGTTCTCAGCTCGAGTTTTTGTTCAGCCGGTTTCTCAAAATGGGGGCCCGTCCTGTTCACTCAATCAGACGGGAAACCAAAAAGGCTTCGCTGAAGGGATGCCCATACGGAAAAAACGGAATTTCCCTTCTGAGTTTGGTGCAGTCAAACTAGCTTTGACCATCGCCTCACAGATTGGATCTCAGCGCTGAGTGCAGGGCAGAACCAAATTCGAAGGGCCATGACCTGGGAAGATGCGAACACGGCATCATGCACCCCAGGCAATGTGGATTTGACTTCACGGCCATCCGTGAAATGGTAAAAACTCCTTAGGATCACGCATCCAAACAAGCTGAACCCTCTGGGTAACCCGCATGCCCCATGTCAGCCCGACCGTTCTGAGGCTTGGGCCATGCTAACGGCACACTGCCAAGCTACAGCCAAAACGCCGCTTTGATCGGAACCCGCGCAGACGCCACCTCCCGGGGCCCTGCAACATTGGACCAAGGAGGCCCTAAGAAGGAGGTTCCTCTATGTTTTCTGGGTCCCGTGCGAAATGAAGACCGCAGAGTAGGCAGGGAAATCCGAGCGCCCAAGCGAACGACAGTGGGGAACCCGGTTTCTTTGGCCACAGGCCAAGAGCATTGACAAGGTACGGATGCCCTACATGTTGGCAAGCAAGCTGCAAACAAGGCAAACTCTGAATTGCCTTGATTTCTACTTGGGTTACTTTGAGGACATCAGCCAGAAGGCTTAAGGAAGTCGCGAGCAAATCAAGCGCTGCGCGCCGGACTGTTCTCTGCCAAGGTCTCTGGAAGCTCCGCCTTTCGAACAAACGGCAGGATAATCCGAGCCCTAGTTCTTCCATGTAGGGCTTGCGTTTATGTGTACACGTATCAAAATGCATTTTGCACATGTATATGACGTTTATGTACATATACGCGCAGATACACATATGTATCCATGTGACATACCAGACAAGCATGCTTCTATGATGAATGCAATGTGTGTGAGCTACCTCTGCGAGCTCGTCGCATGCGGCCGATCAGGTAAGTCTGCGGGCCGTCATGCTTCACTCACCAACGTCGGACATCCCGGGGATGTCGCATGTCACTCGGAGCCAGCTGTACCACGACTGTACTGGCCTCGAAGGTGTAAGATTGCATTCTCATCTTTGTCTCTCCTTACTTGGGAATGGGTCAAACCACCAGGATATGGACCGCAAATTCTAGTCCATGTTTCCATTTACCAGGGCAAGCCATTTTCTATTTTTGGTTCCCACAGCCACTTGAGTCTTGGAAGCACCAGCTTCCAATGTTTGGGAGACGCTTCTCCTTAGAGGCCAGCATGCACCTCGCGCGCTCCCGCTCACTGTCTTGTCGTAGAGGAGCGCACAAGCAACGCCGCCACGAGCCCCGAGGGACGGGAGGGAGCCGATTGGCCCCCAGATGTTTGAGGGTTCAACTCGCATGCAGCCCTGTTTCTTTGGGAGGGAGAACCAAGGGGGGACTACCACGCAGTGGTGTCGCCGCACCCACTGACCGGCAAGTTGCTTTTGTGTGGCTCGCTTGTTTGGGTATGAACTAGCAACCGCTTGGTGGACATGGATTTATGTCCACTGGACATGTTTGAAGGCTTCCCTATTAAAATCAGTGGATGCGGCTCACGCGAGCAGAAGCGGGCTTAGCCGCGCAACTTCCACAACTCGCAACTTGCACAAGGGCCCTGCCTAAGTGGTTGTCGGGAACTGTGCCCGAGAAAATCGACAGACCAGCTGAAACGAAAACATCTGCAGTCCTGGGTGTGTCCTTGTTTGTGTGTACCCCTTTTTGTGTTTCAAAGGAAAACCCAAAGCTGAAATCCATTTTGGAGTCTTAAACAAGACGCACCTCGTGTTGATGATTCCTCGACGAAGAACCGGTAGAGCTTTTCGGATCTTGTTTTGTATGATACCACTCCTCCAAACGAACAACAGGCTGCCCGTGCGCAGTTCCAGCTAGCGCCCCAGCGCGGAAAATTTGGCATTTGAGGCAGAGATTAGTTGCTAGCGACGGATTGGTTGTGACACTTGTGTACGCTCTGCCACACTGTTCTGATGTGTCTGAACATTTATGTGTGTATATATATATATATATATATTTGTATGCAGAGATTATTGTATCTATCATTGGTTAGTTGAATACAAACAACAGGTGGCCAGTCAATCCACTGCCAGCGTTAAGCTGCGTCCTTTGCTGACTGTGACACGTACAGCCTCCGGACAAAAGGATTGAGCGCCTGGCCTCTGCCAGTTGTCATGTGCCGGTTTGCAAAAGGCCAGTCGAAAGCGGAACGTTTGCTGGCGTCGCGGTGCAGGTCAAGCAAAGCCATCCTGCCGTTTCAGGAAGCGAATCACGCCATCCCGACTCTCCGCCAACTTGACGCGACCTGCCAAAAATGGGCCGCCAGCAGAAATCGGCGAATTTCGGTCTCTCCGCGAGGGAGAATCGCGGGAGCGCTTGGGCCCAAACGGCCCAGAGTCCGGCGGTTTGCGGCATCAGTGCCGGGCACCGTCAGCGCGGCGCATCTCACGGACCACCTGACAATGAAGAAATCGAAGCACCTTCCTTCCGAGGAAGCGAAAACTTCAAACCTTGCAACCTAGTGGATGGTTTCCTCCACGTGCAGGCGTTTACACCCTTGAAACGACGTTTGGGTCTGGAAATCATATGTATTGCAAGTTTCCTCTTGGAACAATCTTGAAATGTCTCACCTTTCCCTCTTGTTCAAAGAAAAGCCTGGCTCTCTGTTCTAAATACCCCCTTTTGTATTGGGCATTGAAAGTGGGCATTTGGGGGGGGAGGTGTTTTCTCGGAGCTCCTTCCTTGGGACCCCCAGCGCAAACCCTTGAAGTGGGCAAATTGGGGTTTGTTTGTCGCTTTTGGGCCCCCGGCGAAGCTGCCGCAGTGGTGGTGGGCCAAATCCGCGAGGTCCGCTGGGTCCTTCCTGATGGATGAGTAATGTTCCAAAGACAGGAACTTGCGGGTTCTCAGGGCATCCGAAACCAACTCCGATCAACATCCCACAAAAAAAAACGGGTGTTTCTCAACTTGCTGGCTCCATAGGCGGGGAATGAGGAATCTGCTTTTGCCAGGGATTCGCCTCAAAACAATCAGCTGGCAGTGAAGGTTTCAACGGCAGGTCTCCCTTTTTGTGGGGCCCGGGGCATGGAAAAAAACCCGCCGACCAGGCGACTCAGCCGACGGATCGCTCGCTCGCTCAATCGGCTCGAGCACGCGAGAACGAGGCCCCGGCCGAATGGCTTGAACCAGCTTGTGCCTGGCCAAGCTGGCGACGAATCTTTGGAATGGAGCAAAACAGGTGTCCATTGGTTCGGAGGTTTACGATTGCCCACCACCAGGGTAACAAAAATGCATCTTTGTTTGGAAAAATCCACCAAAGGGTTAGCTGAGTCAAGACTTATCACACTGTAAAAATTCTAAGGGAAGCGTACAAGACCTGACACAAAATACGAGAAAACTAACCTACAGGCCCAAAATGTCTGCGGCAAAATCTAGGTTCTTGAAAATGGAAGGGGGGAGGATCCACCGATTTGCCAGATCAATTCTTCGTCCTCCAAACCAAAGCGCCCCCAGCCCGAGCCCCACATCCAGCACCTGTCTTCAGGAGCGCTGTGCTTCAGGGCGCAACGCACCACGTGGCTGGCCACCTGGATTGACCCGAGAAAACACCGGTTGAAGTGGGGGTAAAAGGGAACTCCCACCCGATTTGCTGCGGGGTTCCCTCAAAGTTCACGGACTTTTTGGGGCACTTCTTCCTGGTTGTGTAACGTTTGGTTCTACTAGCATGGTTTTACAAGGTTTATATTATGTAGCTCCAGATTGACCTATGTGAAATCAGGTAAGGACCCGCTTAAACAGCATGATTAGAGGGAGAGATCGCGGATAACTGCTGCTGTGGATTTCCAAAATCGATACCAAACACTTTACGCGGCATATGGTTATCAACGTCTCTACAAAAGACAGAAATCGGGCACCCAAACATTCTGTTTATCGGAGGTTGGCTGGAAGCACCCCCCCCATCTCCCAAAAAACGACCAATACTTGTTTGTGAGTTCTTGGGAATAAGCATTTTCTTTGATCACCCCCATTCAAGAGCTCATTTCCTTTGTCCCAACAGCACTACACAGCCCATAAGCTTGCCTTCCATTCCCCATCCTTGGTTTGAAGCCTATCTCGCCTATCTTCTTTTGTTTGCCAATGTCATGCCAACTTCCTCCAGTCCTAAGAAACAGCCTTTGGTTGGTGTCTATGTGGCCATGGCTCAAAAGCCAAATCGTACCCCCAGTGAACATCCCAATCCCCACTAAAATCCCGACTAAAATTTGGGTGGTGAAAATTCACCTACCAACCAAAATGGGATCCCAAAACGGTTTGGACCACCACAGCCATCTCCCCAGATCTCTCGGCTCCTTTTCTCCCGGCTTCCGCGGAACCCCTCGTCTGGGCTCCCGTGCCCGATGCCGGGCCAGGCGCTGGATGTCGGCATGGATCACCTCCACGATGCGGTGCTTCTGCGCCACCGTCCTCGGCCGAAGTGGCGCGTCAGGGGGAAGCGGTCGCTGCATGGGTCGCTGTGGTCGCTGGGCGCTGGGGTCGGGCGGTGATGGAGAAGGAGATCAACACGTGGCTGTGGGTCAAAAATAGGGTAACCCCAAAATGGGTAACCCTGGCAAATGGAACCAAGGACTAAAACCTGCGGTCCCTATCCTGGTGGTTTCATTTTGACCCATACCCAGGTATTTCCAACCGCTCTAGGGCAGGAGGGGGCGATCTATATACATGCCTAAGCGGGCTTCTATCACCATGGGTTTGTTGTCCGAAAAGCGTGGATTTATCCAGTACTCCAAAAGGCGAGCCCTAATGGGCCAGCCAAGAATTATCCCTCCTGTAAGTGCTGCTAGAATTGAGGTCCCCTGGTCAAGAAGGCTTGGTGGCAAAACAAAAAAACACCCCTGTATAAAGCTCTGCAAGAAAAAGAAAGTACACGTTGGCCAATTGCCCCCATTCAAGGAACCTCGAAATGAAAAACTACAAAGTGGTAGCAAGGAAAACAAACCCGTTTTGGTCATTCGTCAAAAAACCCAAACTGTAGGCCACGGTTGCAATCTCTCACTTGCCAAAATCCTTTAAAACGTTAACCATTGCACAAATGGAGTTTCCAAGAAAGGGCTGGTTGGTTTCCTGTTGGCTCCCTTCCAACGCCAGAAGCACGAAAAATCCACGTTCCCTTCCTTGGTGTTTTGGATTGGTGGGTTTAGAGGTTGGGGTGGTTTACTCTGTACCCTCCACGGGTTCGAACCCCCCAACGACCAAGCAAGGGTTGTATGGAAAATGCCAACAATCCAATCACCCAATGCAATTGGGCATCTCGCTCTGTCTGCGGAAAGCAGAGACCAGGCTCAAGCAGACCCCCACGCTTCAGGCGGAAAACTGACACACAACCGACTGCAAAGACCCGGGCCTTGGCATCGTGTTCGAAAAAACGATGTGAGCACAGCAAGCTGAAACCAGTTTGGTTCCATCTACTTCCACCCGAAACCAGTGGCGTCCATCACCCCGCTTGTCATAAACGTGTTCTACTGGAAAGGCACCTTCGGTTCCCTCAACATGAATTGCTCCCCAAGAGTAGCGAGACGCCCCTCCCAAATTCCCATACACTGGACGTGTCCACCAAACCTTCCTCCCAAACGGACCAGAGACTGGACACATCCACCAAATTCCGTCTATTTCCAAGCCGATTTGAAGCTCCGCCCAGCCCCACCAACCCCCAGGCCCCCCCGAAAAGAAAATCGGACCCCCCCCCCCCCCCCCCCCCCCCCCCCCCCCGCAACATACAAGGCCACCCCCCCCCCCTCATCCGGCCCGCCACCCCCGCAGGCCACTTCCAGGGAAGCGAGTGGCCCGTGCTCCAAGACGTGCTGCACCACGAAGTTGCCGAAGGTGTGGCGGCAGAGCTGCGGCGCCCCGGCCAGCACCTGGCAGCGTCTTGGGAGGAGCTGACAAGCCGATCAGCGCCCCAGCCAGGTCGCGGGCGGTGCGCGTTTGGGCGGTTCCCCAAGGGAAATTCCTCCAAACGAGAGAAGAACACGGCAGGTTGGTTGTTGGTTGATGTTTTTTGTCTGTGTCGGTGGTTTTTCTCAAGCCAGGATTCCCGAGGTTCAGGCCAGGCGCGCTTTGAGCGCCCTAGCAGCGCACATGGGTCTTGGGAAAAATGGTGATTCCTTTGTGTCGTTGGCTTTTCCTGCGCAACTGCATGTGCGGCCCGCTTTTTCGGCCTGCCAGATGCCAAAGAAACGAAACCTGCTGTCTCGTCCTTTCGTGGACTTCAATCAATCTGCTTTGATAAGGGCAAGCCAAAAAGGAAATCTGGGGGGGGGGTATGTGGTATGTGTCAAACTAGCCTAATATGGTGGTCCTTTCAACCTCCAAATCCCACAACCCCGAGCTTTTGGGCAAGCCACGAAGTCGTCTCAAGCCACTCGCGGGTTGGCCAAAGGCCCCGTGCTATGATGCCATCAACATATGCTTCCCACCCCAACACTTCACCCTCCTTCCTTTCAGAACACACCTGGAAGGTACCTGGAAGATCAAATTCCTCTGACTGTCCCCTTCCCACTTCTAGTTGTACCTGTGGGAGGGTTCCTGGATAGACTTCCTTGCGCCTTAGGTGCCAACACATCGTGAGTCAGGTGCCTCCTCGACCAGCGGCGCGGTCTGTTCAGTGGGGCAATGCTCCAGGAGGCGCTCCAGCACTCGGCAGCCTCGTTGCGCAAACCCGGCCCGTCGATTCTCGCCGTGTTCGATGGATGTGCATTCGGCGGTGGTTGTCAAAAATAGGGTAACCCCAAAATGGGTAGCCCTGGCAAATGGAACCAAGGACTAAAACCTGCGGTCCATATCCTGGTGGTTTCATTTTCACCCATACCCATTTATATACGTAGATTTGTAGATTTGTGCGGCGGCCCTTGGCATCTTTCAGTGGCTTACTCCGCTCGATGGATATAGGCGGATGTGCGCAGGTTCGATTTCCAAAACAACACAGCCTATGAACTCAGGAAGTTTGAGTTGGGACTGTCCCCCGACTTGTGGCGCTCTAATAAACCTCAAATGGCCTCCCAACCTCCGCACACTTGGCAAAAATCGCGATGCTTTGGCTAATTGATATGCCAGGTACCATTGAAATGATTGGTAGAGCGTCTTCCCACATTTAGCCACCAAAGAATTTGCTTTTCCGAAGTCCATGTTGAGGATCCCTATGACTCAAAAGTATGACCCCTTTGACACGCCTTTCAATTGGTTGACTTCCCTCAACCACCGAAAAGGGTTTTGGCTTCCCTCAACCACCCCAAGGCCTTTTTTCCCCACAGATTGTTGGACCGAACCAAACTCCACTTTGCGAAGCCCCCGCCGAACCCCACCCCCACACCCCCCGCCGTTTCCGCCGATTCCGCCGAACCGAAGGACCGCCGAACCGAGTCGAATCGAGGTCCGAGGTCGGATGGAGGGGCCGTAGCGGTGCCGCGCCGCGGCCACCGTGTGGCTCTGCATCTCCGCCAGCACGAAGCCGAGGCGCTCCGGCGGGATGAGCTCGATGCACTTCCTGAGACTTCAGCTTCCCTCTGGTTAGGAGTGGTGGCCTGGCTAGGAGTGGTAGCTAAGGAGTGGTGGCTAAGGAGTGGTGGTCAGGAGTGGTGGTTAGGAGTGGTGCTTAGGAGTGGTGGATAGGAGTGGTGGATAGGAGTGGTGGATAGGAGTGGTGGATAGGAGTGGTGGTGAGGAGTGGTGCTCAAACCACCCATCCAAACGACCCACTTCAAATTTCCTGAGAAGTGAAATCTAAAGGAACTTTGATGACTGGAATGTCTTAAGGAAGTGGGAATTGATGGATAAACAGGGCGTTGCCCCACAAGTAAAGGATCCCCTAAAGCCAAGCAGGGGGTTAACTTAAACCACAGGAAGTTACCCCAAAGTTTGCGGAAGTTGCATGTTCACAAGACGTTGTGGGAATCATTCCAAGATACCAGCTATATTTGAGTACTTTAAAAATATAAAATAACACAATAGGGTAAGATGATACTAGCAGGAATGTTGTAAGTCAGCCCGTAAACTAGGGCCTGCGTTTGTTCGACCCCAATCTACTTTTTTGGACCCCAAGTCAGGAGGTAGGATCCTAAAAAGCAGGTTGGGGGTGGAAAAACTGAGTCCCCAAAGAAACAAGCGACAGTTGCAACACAGGAAGTTCACCCAAACCCCCGGCATGATGTGGCGGATGTTCGGCGGTCATTGAGAGTGTCATTGAGTGCAAAACTGGGAACTTTCCGGATCCCAGCGTCCTGCGCTGGATCATTGGCTCGAAGGTCCAATCAGCTCCTTGAAAATCCCGCTGGTTCGAACCAGCTTCGGTTTCATTGTTAATTCACCATACCACAAGACAATGTTCTCAGGAAATAAGTCAGCTAGGCTCACTAAGTAAACACGAATATCCGATATCATATTATATTATCCCACAAGCCACTATCATTGTGCCCCAGAGTGATGGTATTAATCAAACTAAGGGCTGCTCGTAGTTAAGCCATAACTCTGCTCAGAAACTGCAAGACTTAGCTACCATCAGAGGCTCATTCACCAATAAGCAAAGGGGTTGTATCAAGGGATCACAGGTGCATAAATATGCACCTGTTGGGCTGCATCAAAGCAAACTCAAGAGCCAGCAAACAAATGTGGGCGTGTGCGCGTGTCAAAACAGGGAGTTGGCCCCAAAAAGGTTGCGTGTTCCTTTCGGTGTCCCTTTCGGTGTCCAAGCCGAACAGGGCACCTTCCTTACCGACCCGACGGCCCATGAATCAGGCCTCTCCGCCGACCCTATGACATTAGGAAGGAAGCACATCCGACAGCGATGTTTCAATGGCGTAGGCGTCGATCGGTCGAGGCCCAGAGAAACCAGCCGCGAACCCCGGGTGCTTTAGTCACCAACGCTGCCGCCGAGGATCTGAAGGACATGGTTTGCGTGGGGCGAAGCAAAAGCTTCCTTCACGTGCCCCCGCAACTGCTCGGCTAAAGCCATACCTGCCAAGCATGGGCAAACTCGTACTTTGCAACACGTCCACCGTATGAAACACGTCAATAGTGTGTTCCCGTAATGGAGATAATTAAAACAATTCGTGCCCCCTTGTGGAAATTTGAGTGAGTGTTTGTATATTGACTTTTGGCTGCAGCTCACATGGGGCACGGACCATACAATTGCAACACTGACAGTTGCATACCTGCCCATCCCAACCTCCATTTCTGGCATTTGCTTGTCTCAAAATAGCTTTCTTTTTGACCCAATAAACAAGGCTTGCAAGTCCAAAAAGGCACCCCCATATGCAGCCAATCAACTCCCTGCCAAATGGTGTGTGTGTGTGGTGTTGTTTCTTTTTGAAAAACCCTTTTGGGAGGGGAAGCCAAATGTAAAATCGAAAGCCACGTTTGGACCCTAGCACGTAAACGATCTGACGACAGGGCCGGGCTCCAAACACGATCTGACGTGAGCTACTTCAATCAGCCCGGGCACCACGCAATGGATCCACTGCGGAACGCAAGACTAATATCCGGCACTTTTCGGCAATCTGCACCCATGGACCGTCTTCGCTTTCCTGGGTGAAACTCCATTGGTGCTCCAAAAGCACAGCATCTCCAGAGGAAACCCATAGAACCCCTATTGGCTTCCTTGCTCCCAAAAAACGGGAAAACCCCACAGTGGCCAGCGATCCGTGGCAAATCCCACTTGAGGCAAGTTGCGCTCCGGTGTGTCCTCAGACAGGAAACTGTTCGTGTGAGAACAATGGGCTGGCATGCCCCACCAGCTACAGTCAGGGCATGTGGAGATCTTACCAGGAAATTGGTGGACCACCTATTTTCCTTCAGGAGGGGGGAGGGTGGTCCACGTGCCAATTGATTGTTACTCGCTTGAAATAGGTGACCGTCTTTTGCATTGCCTGCCAAATCCGATTGCGACCCAATGGCTCTGAGAGAGAACAAAAACAGCACTCTCGGCAGTTTTGCGTGACCTGGAAACGACGGGGCAATCGACCGCAAGTCGCATTGCAACCGCGCAATCTCCTTGATGCTAAGTCGTGTGGAATACCCAACCAAGCATCTTCTTGACTTCCCGGCGAAGCCCTCAAGCCAAAACGTGGAAACTCCGGCACACTCCTTGACTGCAAGGCTTGCTGGACAAAAATGGTTCTGTCCCCAATCTTGTGGCCCTGGCTCAAATTCGTGTGGGAGGCCACCCAGGAAAACCGAGGCTACCCTTTTCAGCTTCGGTTTTTCTCAGCATAACCGACCGGAAAACCCCTCAGCCCTTCTCGGACTTCGTCCCCCGAAACCCGACACCCGAGGCCCGAGGCATCCGAGCCCATCCGAGGGGCGGCCACCTCCAGGGCCTTCTGCACCACCCGCGTGCCGCCGGGGCTGCAGGACATGGACCAGGCGGAGCTCCACAGGAGCTCCAGCACCTCCGATTTCCGATTTCCGATTCCCAGCGAGTGGATGGCCCGAAAGAAAGGGTCCAAACCCGAAACTGTTCGGCGGTTGCAAGGTGGTCACCACCAATCCAAACCACCATTTGGGGGGTACCTGACCTACAACAAGCCAGAGACATGTACTTGTCGGACCCCCGAAATGGAGGATTTTGTTTAAACCAAAACCGGGGGCACCCGGTAACCTCGAAACAAGACAGACTCACATGGGAAACTTGACGTGTAGAAGCTTGGTTTGTCCCCCCCCCCCCAGAAACAGAAAGAAAAAGCAGAAAAAAAAGAACACAAAGCACCGGGAAGACAAGAATCGACCAAAACTGGGATTGGAGTCTTTCGGGAGGCGTGAAACTTGAGTTGTCCCACCTTCTACTCCCAACCAACAGGGTTCGATCATATATATATATATATATATGAGTTGTATACTCTGCCGAGGCTCCCGAACTCGAGCATGGAGCCGAGGAATAGCCCGAATAGTGCTTTGCTCGTTGCAGGGTGATCAGCTCTCCCCAAACATGTATTCTGGTGTCTGCGGTCAAAACCAATGTGAGCCATGGTTCGTTCAAAATCCCTAATGATTGCAAACCATCCCTACAACCCCCTGAACAATACCCTTTCCCTGTGCTGTGTTTGGTGTGGTCTCCCAATCCCTCCGACACTTTGTTCTTAGGGGTATGTGGTCCTGAGCGCTGAACGGTTCATTTCAAGGAAAGCCTTGCTTGGAACCGCTCCCTCCTTGGTTTCTGCTGATTTGATCCATCCCTGCTCATTCGCGATCCGTCCCCGCAAGCCAGCCACCATTCTTCGGGGTGCCTGGCCCTGCAAGTTTGACCCGCCTCGGCTCGCCCAGCTTCGTCGTCCAGCTGGCAGATCATCTGCTCGCATGCCTGGGTCTCCTCGTCGGGGATGTCCTGAGAGCGAGCGACCGGGAAATGGCTTTCGCTCAACCCGAAACGGTTGGTGTCCCTTACAACCAAGCTGAGGGTAGCCTTCGCCTGGAGGCAAAACTCGAGCATTCTTCCAAAACCCGCAAATGATCCATCCCCTTTTGATTTGACTTCTTGCGAAATCAACAAAATGATGCGCTGTTTAGCACCCGGGCCCCCGAGAGGCCCGGATTGCGGCCGTGAATGCTCTTTGGAGACCTGGGAATGGGCCTAGATGCCGGTGCTTTTTTGGCGCCCCGCCTTAGCACATGGTTCCTAAAACCAGGGCCCCCTCCCATCGAGGATTGTTTGCATTTGAAGGGATGCCAGCAGGAACCAAGATGAAGAACTCGCCAGTGGCGCTCCACAGAACTCCCTGTCCCCACCCCACTGAAAGGAGGTGGCATGAAAGGTCCAAATCCACCCAAAAAAAACATAGAATATGCCCGGGCCACTTAAAACGAATGCGCTCTCCGAGTCCTCCGTCACTGCCTGGGACACCTGGAAGCTCTCATTTGCTACGGGCATCTCCATCTGCCACACGCCTGCGGATGTGGGAACTTTGTTTGGGTGTGATCTGGGTCTGCTTTCTTGCGGGTACCCGTTCTTGGGGGGGGGGGGGCGCTAAAGGGAACGCCATTTTGGCAGGGTTCCGCATGTAAACCTCCTCGGTATGCTTGGACTTGGTGGGCATCACTTGGGAATTTCAAGGGATCTGGGTTGAGGCGTGCCTTTGAGCACCTGAAAAATTGAGGCAAAGAGCGCTCTCGACCTGGTGTTGGGAGTCCAAGAACATGTGAGCGCTGTGCAAAAAAACCTGCTCTTAAACAGCCAAAAACAGGGCCTGCCAATGTCACCAAGGTATTGGCGAATTGGACACCCATGGGAACTAATCGACATGGCGGACATAGCCATTGAAACGCTTTGTTTGACTCTGTCCCATTCCCCTTCAGGATTGTGGCTTAGTGTTTGAAATAGCTTAAGGAGAATATGTCATCTTAAATTTGATTTTCTTATAGGAACCCGATTTAAAGCAACGCTTTCCTTTGGGTTTCCAAGGTGGACGCGGTGGTTTTTTTTTCCCTGGGTTTGAGGCTTACGTTGGGGTAATCCCAAATTCTCTGCCACACTCCTGTGGGCCGCCACCCTCGAGAAAACTTTACACCGATTATCTACAACCCCTTTTAGGGTGGTGACCATCCCCTAGCAAAGGCACTGGCGCATGGTTGCTCCAAACAGGAATCGGTCCAAACAATGGCTGGCTTTGTTTGGGGGGTCCACCTGTTTGAGAAGCTCCCGCAGGGTTCATCAAAAGGTCCCATGAACATGAGATGACCATTGGTTGGAAAGCCAATAAAAAGATTTGATATGTCAACCACATGGGAAAGTTACGGTTGAGGCGTGTGTTTCTACTAGTCCTGGCATTTTACTTGCCCCGGCTCAGCTCCCTATGTGGCTGGTTGGCCAGGCTGGGGGCCGGGTGGCTGGGCTTCCTTTTGGCTTTGATTTGGTGAGTTCAGAGTTGCTCAGTTTGGGGCTCATTCGGAAAAGAGCTGATAGCCAAGATGCTGTTGGGAGAGTCTAAGGTTGAGTTGGAGCCAGCTTGGGCTGGCGTGGAGCTGAGTTGCGCCAGGTGTGCGGCTGGTTTACCAGTGGCTTTAGGGTTGCTTTAGCCCTAAACCCTCCAACAGCATCCTGGATATCATCCCTTTTCCGAGCCTAAATGAACCCCAAACAAGCCCAAGACCCGCCCTCTTTAAGCCCCAAGCCCAACACCAGCCCCAAGCGACTCTGAACTACCACCGAATCAAATCCAGTAGGCAGCCCTAGTCCGAGCAGGGCCGCTGATGCTGGAGATGCGGCTAACCCCAAACCTAGCCCAAAACTTGCGCAACCACATGCCTAAAGCTAAAGCCACTGCCAAACCAGCCGCAACTCAGCTCCAAGCCAACCCAAGCTGACTCCAACTCAACCTCAAACTCTCCCAACTAAGATGGTTATCAGCCCTTTTCCGCGCGAGCCCCAAACAAACCCAAGACCTGCCCTCATTCAGACCTCAGCAAGCCCAACACTCACCCGAAGCCAGCCAACTCTGAACTGCCACTGAATCAAGCCAAAAGGCAGCCCTAGTCTGAGTGAGGCCGGGGATGCTGTGGATGCGGCCGCCCAGCCGCCCGGCCGACCAACCAACCAACCAACCAACCAACCAACCAACCAAGCAAGCAACCAACCAACCAACCAACCAACCAACCAACCAGCCCCCTGGCCAAAGCTAAGCCCTGAGCCGGGGCTGGTAAAAACAACCACCGGTTCCGAAAAGTTGCCCAGCATCAAAACTGAGGGCCCTGAATGGAATATTGATCAACCCCCATCCTGCCCCTTGCCTGGAAACGCGCAGAAGGTGGGCATGCTATTCATGTACCGCGGCGTGCACGGGGGCGTTGACTCGGGGGTCGGCGGCCACAGCTGCTGAGGCTCCTGTCAAACAACATAGGCTTGGAAGATACGCTGGATGCCCTTGATATGCGGGAGGGGGGGGTCGACCGGAAAAAATGGGTGGCGTCCTTCCTTTTCAGCAGCAGCCACAAGTGGTTGAGAGCACACCGGTTTCTGTACGGGAAATTCAGTGTCCACAGGATCTCTCCCAAATACACCGCACACTACTGGTACTGTTGACCAAACCTCTTTTGAGCCCCGGACAAAATGACCTTCGGTTCCCCAAAAGGACATGGGAGAACTGACAACAACTCCTTGCAGGCCAAGACAGCTCCCTGGACGCACGAGAAAACTCCCCATGTTGCTTGCCTGACTCACCTACAAATGTTAGGCGATCCATTTGACCCACGTCACTCGACCGTTGCATAGTCTCAAAATGTACTCTTCTTTGCTCCCAACCTGCTCTCGCCGTGCTGACAAACGCATTGCTGTCAAAATGTGTGCATCTGTTTTTGAGGGCACCCTCTTTGGGGCGGGTGTAAAGGGATAACAAAAGGATATTTCCATGATTGTTTGGGTCTCCTATGTTAAAACATCCTCAAAGAGGGGTTAACCCCGAAATGTGATTTTTCCCTGTTGGCGGGTACCCTCCCAAAAAGGAACCCTTGCAAAGATGCAACCCAAACTCGCAGAAGTCTTCCTCGGGTCACAGCGGAAAGCCCAAACACGAAGCCATTCTGAACGCGACCCCGCCTCGGCGAGCGGGCTCGACGGCAGTGCCGGAGCCTGCACTGCGACAAATGAGCGGAGCACCAGAGCCAGCAGGGAGATCCTTCTTGAAGGAAGTTGTGGTGTATAACTTGCCTTCCCTACAGGACATAGGAAAATCAGTGAGTTCCCTGGTTTCGCGGTGAAATTTACCCCCGTTTATCTTGCGGTTTCCAAGAAATGCATGCAAACTCATCAAAGTCATATCAAGTGATGCACAGCTGTCAACTCCTTTTTGAAAGTGGGCAGTCGTCGGCCTGCTGTTCAGGTAGCCGAAATGAGTGTCAAATGTGCTTGCAAGGGTGGCCCGAATATGGGGCGAGGAAAAGAAAGATGACGTTAACATTCACATTAGTCAACACATCCTTATTGAACACGGCATGATCAAAAGATTGCATTGCTCCATTGAGCCGACCAGCTGAAATCCATCGACTTCTTTCTGCACAAAAAAACGCACCCAGACTGATCGCTTGTTTATCTTGCTGGAAACCGCAGGTACGGACTCAAGAAATGCATGCAAACTCATCAAAGTCATAGCAAGTGATGCACAGCTGTCAACTCTTTTCTGAAAGTGGGCAGTCGTCGGCCTGCTGTTCTCGCCCAACTTTCAGTCTCATCAGATTCAACAAGCGAGGACCCCAAGTCGTAGGTTGCAGCTCGAACCTTGAAGGGAGGTCAGCCAAGTTAGAATCCGTTGGGACCCTGCCATACCAGGGCAAAAACTGCTTGTCAGTCTCCAGCTCAAGCACTGCAAGCAAAATCTGTTTCGCAGTTGGATTTGCAGCGTTGCATGAAATAAGGGAATCACGGACACCGTTATTATCAGTGTAGATCACAGACCAAAGCCAGAACGCGCAAAATAATGCAAAGAATTCGCATTCGAAGATTGCATTCTTCTTCCCATTCGGGTTGATGAAAGCCAGCTTGCACGCTGGGACGACTTTCGAGAAAAATTGGTCGGATTGCCTGCCGGATCGAAAAGCACTGCACCAATGCCTGCCACCGAACCAACGTCCGATGGCTCATAGGAAGCATCTACCAACATTGATTCGCTGAAGCCCTCACCTGCGAGGCTTCGATTCCAACAGCAGCCGTCTATGAAGACCAAGAGCAAGGATGGAGCGGTCGTCAAGTGATGTCGAGCGCGCATGATACGCATGGGCAGTGACAACGGCCAGAGCCGCCTTCGCAATGCGCCCAAAAATGCTTCCTGCAGCAAACTGCAGACGGCCCCTGAGCTTAAGGGCCTCGTGCTGCGACAGCTTGCCCGCAGTCAAAATCTCAGTCAGGCATTTGATCAACTTAGCTCTCCGGCTGTCAGTGTTGCGCACAAGAACCGAACCACGATGAAGCAGCAAGCGCGTTAAACATTGCCGCAAAATCGGGGGCCTTCGGCCCGGTTTCAGCAAATGCCCAACCAAGCATCCTAAAGAAGAGCTGGATGCAAGAAGTCACTGAGGAGGCCTCGGTAGCCGTAGCAAGCGTAAGAAAATCATCGAAGTAACCAGTTGTGAGAACCAAGAACTCAGTGACCAATAAATACCACAGGCTGTAGCCAAACCGCAGGAAGCTGAAACCAAACATTTTCTGCGATGCTGGGTCTTGTACCAGAATGTGGGCATACCGTTTCGAAGATGCACTGACTGCACACTGCCTGTACGCCCCCGTTAAATCAAATGTTCTACCACACCACATGTCTTGCTCTCCAGAGACTGCCATTGCATGGATGCACAAAGACCCGAAGACATCGATGGTGTGCGGCTTTGGTGACTCGCACGTTTGCACACAGCTATTGACCGCTGAGCGAGAAAAGTCGTCAATGCAGCGAGTTTTTCCAGATTGTCTTATACCAAAACGTCTGCTTAACGGGTAATCCCTTGGAATAGTATCCAAAGGCAGTGGGCCCTCAAGTACACCGGACACAACTTCGTCCAAAGTTTTGCGCCAAACTTCCGCAGCCAACTCATCATCGCCCATCTGCGCGAATTGCTGCTCAGGCGAAGGTCGTTCTCTGGACGCAACGTCGGCAAGCTCCGTTTCAGTAATTGATGCTGGAGTGAATCTCATTGGCCACAAGCCTGTCTTCTCAACACATCCAACAAGGTCGGAACCTGAGACAAACTCATCTACGGCTTGTAAATCTGCATAGTCAGTAGCTTGCAGCATAGCTTTCCAAAGGAGGACATTCTTATCTTTGAGGACCACCGCAACATCAGGGCGCGTTGTCCTCTTCAAAGCCGCTTCGTCAGACTTGAGACTGACCATCATCTTCAGCAAGTATCCAAGCTTCGAGACTCTGTATGACATCCGCTGCTGAACATCCATTGATTTGAGGACTTGGAAGGCCAGAGCCAAGCATAGCTGGATGCCCAAACTTAACCATTTGCCGGATGAAGTCCTGTTCAGTCCACGGATGCCCCAAATTTGAGTCTCACACGGTCCAGCCCGCTTGGTACCATCATTTACACCTGTCAGCCGAAAAAGTTTGTCCACATCTTCCTTTCCTGGTTGCTGCTCGGCCCCCCGTTCCAGTAAGGGAGGAGGCAGCACTGCAGGTGTCTTTTGCAAAAGCTTCGACCCTTTTGGCAAAACTGTAGGTGCAAATTGCGTGTCCACACGCACGAGGTGGGCGAGTTTGTGAAAAACCTCACCAGCTGGTAGATCATCATGAAAACCTGAAATGGCAACCTTTGCAGAAAAAATTGGAATAGTTGGAGGGAGCTTAGAAACCCTGGACTGCAGACCAGCGTGAGCACGCATGGCAGGCAACGCTTGTAAATCCAAACTGGTAATGTCAGCGAGTGTTTGAAATCCACGCGAACGAAGCGCAGCCAAAAATTGCGACGCGATCAGACGAGCCAAGGGCATCGGATACGCCATCTCCAAAGCAGTTGCAACTGAGTTGAAGTGGGCGAAACGCCCCACTTCTCGTGGCGGTGGCTTGACGAAACACCGGGGCACCTTGCATTAATGACTGAAAATTCACTGGCATTAAATCCAAGCATCCTGTGCTTGGGCCTTGTTGAAACGTAGCAGCAAGACTGAAAAGTTGTGAACTGCATCAAGTGAATCACTGACTGAATGAAACTGGTCTGCCAGAAAAGGCTGAACTGCGGATTTTCAACGCAGAACAGGCAGCCCTGTTTGGTAGCCCACTCAACCAGGCGGGCCGTCAAATGGTAGAGGTGATTTGCCTTTGAAACTTTGATTGCATCCACAAAAGATCCATTCAGATACATATCTGACCTTAGTGGTTGTGGAGCTCGTGGCGCAATACCAGAATCACGCTTTCTCTTCAGAGGAATGTTCCGAGCCCTTGAGGCAGAACCGCATGGAGGCGCAAGGAAAATACCAACCACAAACTGATTTGACAACCATTGGAAGAGAAGGCGAAATCCTTCGGTCGCGCATAGGTCAGCCAGCACCACTTGTGCCATCGCTTGGCGATGTCGGACATGGTCGGCCCCAAAGGATGAGGCCAAACAATGAGGCGACGAGGGACATCCGCACCGGCAGCAAAAAGACTACCGACGCGGTCTATTTGTCACTTCTTCTTGGAATCGTGCTGAGATTCCGGATGCGGCGGGAAGCAATTCCGGCGGCAGCAATGGTGCCACCCTTTTGGGCATTCAGCTCCATCAGCGGCTGCAGAGCACTTTACGGCTTGGTAATCAAAACAAAATCGGCGGCCACATTGTCACGGTTGAGAAGTGAGGGAGAACGTTGCCAGCTTTACCTCCACGGCCCTTTCCTTTGCGCCCACGCCCTTTTCCTTTGTATGGTTGGTTCCGCTGAGGTTGCCAACCACTTCCTTTCTGCGAAGAGTAGGGCTGAGCATGCTGTTGACTTGCGTTGTCACTCTTGGCCGTAGACAAACCCCACCTCATAGGAGTGGAGCGCCTCGAGGATTTTGCTGTGCATGTCAAGCGAATTGTCAGGCAAACGCTGAGCTCAATCCCTTGTCGAGTCATGTGCAAGAAGACCTGACGATCCACCTTCAGGATCTGCGGCAGAGTCGGTCGAAGGTAGTTGGGTGGTGGATCCATTCTCAAAACACCTGTCAATTCCTGAAGGTACTTTTGGTGGCTTTCCCACGAAATCATATCAGCAAAGGCCATGGCGATTCCACGACGACAACTCACTGCTGTGGAATTGGTCTGGGACATCTGACTTCTCTTTGACCACCAATTTCTCACTGTCCAATGAAATCTGCTTCTCGATTTTTCCCATTGTGATTTCCCACTTTCTTGAGGCGCATCTCTCAATCTGGCCATAGTTAAGTTGGTTGCATTCCTTCTGCTGCATCATGGCCTCAAGCAACTCGTGAGACGGTTCAAGCTGCCGCTCAATCACCACACCTGCCAAACGCGCCTTGAGCTGCTGCATCCTGTGTTCACGTTCAACTGCAGGCAATTTCCTGCTTGCAGCAGCATTGGGATCAGTCACCAACTCCCGCAACTGACCCAACACAAGGGTGTGCCCCTCGAAGACAAGACGTTTGAGCACGCCGGTGTCTGCTTGTTGATCACGGCGCCCAAAATGTTTTGAGCATATGTTGTAACCGGCTGTCCAGGTTGTCAGAAAGCCAGCTTTCCCAAAGTATTCAAATTCTCCGCCACCAATTGGTTGATGGCCCCTTGACACATTCCAGCATCTGCACCCCCTCTTCAGGAAATGTGCATTGGAATCCACTATGGACGTCATTCGGTCGGCAGTCAAGGATTCCTAAGACAAAGCATGCAAAAATGTGACATGGCAAGTGCGGAAAAATCCAAAACAAAAGAGTTGACGTGTATGGCACGTTGCAATCCTTTTGCATCAAGTGTTGCTCAAATTGCACCTTGCATGCCTTGGCACATTGCCATGAGCCAGCACATTGCTGCAAGCCACACATTGTGGCAGCGCACATTGCACGTGGCACATTGCCAAATAGCTCAAAGAAAGCTGCAGCACATTGCACAGACGTCATCGACAAGAAGACACATTCGGCTTCTGACCTTTCATCGCTACGTGTCACATACGAGTTCCACCTTTGTGGACAAGTGAGACACATCGGGTCTCGGCGACCCTTGAAGCACACCCGGCACTTCTCGGTCCAATTTCTGACTTCATGAACCAACTCAAAGTGATCAGCAATGCGCCTACCACAACGAGTCAACTTCCCACGCATCGATTTCAAGAAAGCCTCTTGGTTGTCAATGACATCGTCAGGCTCGGGACTGGCCTCATGCGTCACCTTAGTGCGAGTGTTCTTCGCAAAGATGGTCACCTCGGACGACACATTGGCGGCAGGAACGGAAGTGAAGACCTCTTCAAATCCGCCGCCATTATCAAAAATACGACCATCATCATCCCCACACTACGCACAAGTTCCACTCTCCGAACTGTCACTGCCAGAATCTGATGAGATGACTGCAAAGGGATCACACGCCTCTCCAGCAAACGTCTCCTTAGCATTCGCATTCTCGACCACCGCCTGCGCCCCTGATGGATTCGGAGTCGACGGCTGTTCATAACCTTTGAACACAGGGGTGAATGGCTGCATCAACACGTGTGCAGGAGTGCCAGTTGACCTCTGCACCATTTGAGGGAAGTAATTTGCCCTCGACGCATCAGGCATGAGTGTTCCATTCACCATAGTGATCACTCTGCGCAAGGCATTGACCGGCCCTACACTGAGGTCCCTGCTGTAAACTGCATCTGAGTCTTGAACAGTTGCCAAGCGCCTTCCCAAAATTCGGCGTTGCTCACAAGGCATCTCTGCTTTTGCTGCCCAGCTGAGTGTTGTAGCCTTCAATCTATATGACTGGACAGGTTTCCGTCCTCACAACCAAGGAAGGCTCCGAGTATCCCGGTGATTTTTCCCGGTGACAAAGGCCGTGAGAGCCACTCCACTTTGTCTCCAAGGGACGGTGCAGGAAGCAACGCCCCATCGACGATTCCTGAAGTGGGCAGGTTGCACATCTTACGATGAAAAAGTCGTTCATCGGTATGCGCCATGGGAGACGAACCTCCGATGGCCAAAGCGTCACGGATTGGCGCCGAAACCAGAGCTGCTCAAGATCCAGGGGAATGCGCCTGCTGAGAGGGAAGCGGTCGGGCAGCTTGGATGTCTCGCCGGACCACCTGGAAAGCATGTCTGCGTCCTCGTTAAGTTCACCAGGAATATGGGAAGCGTCCAAGGATACTCCCGAATAGCAGCTGAATCCAAGGGAGATCAATCACACCTGCAGCAGACATCAGAATAGGTAACAGCTGCGTCTTCTGCTAAGATGTCTTGGCAGATTTGTGAAAGCGTGTGCTCACCTCGAGAAATCCATTTGCATCGGAAACATCGTGAAGTATTTCATGAATATTGAGGTCAGACACACGACAACGCCCATAAAGCGCCAACAACAAATTTGAAGCGATACACTTGTCCACCTTCGAGTGCGCAGATCCATCGGCAATTGAGTGGAGCTTCTTCACCTCCGCGACTGTGAGAGGTCTTGCCTGTTTCATGGGATTCCTGTGAGAGAGCTGCAACTGTGCTTGTCCCTTGCTACGCCCAGAGTTAACACATTCAATTGCACCATCGAATCCCATCATAAAGTGAGAAAATCTCAATGACTGAAGAAAGGAATGAGATCGAGTTGCCGGCGCAGCACTGGTTTTCTGCCATAGAACATAATGCCAGACATCATCCTCGTTGAAAGGGAGGAACGAATGGGCTCCATGAACCGCATGCCACCTGTAGTACATCAAGATTGCATTCACACGCTTCAGAATCGTGTTCGGAGGCTTGACTCCCATAACGGATGTAAGCACGACATCGGCCTCTGCTGCATCTCCTTGTGAAAGTTGTCTTCCAACTTCCGAATATGAAGAATCGATTGAAGTCACGAACCTCCACTTCTCAATGGCATTGCCAATGATCTTCTCTCGTTGCTGCAGGAATGTTGCATCGCTCTTTTGTTGAGTATATCGCGCACAAGTCCACTTAGTCTCAGACGGGATGTCAGGCTGGCTGAGTTCAACAGCATCAGCATCAAAAAACGGCGGGGTCACAGTTGAGTTCCAATTCATAGGCATGGCCAGCGTTCACCTCTCCAAAGATCTGCTTCATCAAAGGCGTATGGAAATCCCTGTGCGCGCAACACCGCGAACAAACTGGTCAGAAACTGCAGTGTTGTCATCGTCAAAAGAACTGTGACCACCAACATCGAAAACATGCTCCGTAGCAGTGTGCGTTGAGAAGCGACGGCTCGCAATCATCCTCTGATTCAATATGCTGCGCGCACTCACTAAGGTCGGCACTATCAAGAGGTTCCGAAGCACACTCCGTACACTGATCGTTGGCTTCAGGTTGCACAGCAATATCAAAAACAGCGAAGGGTCCACTTGCACTGCTTATGTCGGCAACTTGGCAAACATCTGAAGCAACTGCGACTGGTGAACTGTCAGAGAGCCTCCTCCACTTCCTCCTGAAACCTTTGCTGCTGGCACTAGTTTCCATGGCAAGGCAAAATCCCCCGGCGAGCACAAAATGACACAAGAAAAGAAAGATGACGTTAACATTCACATTAGTCATGACATCCTTATTGAACAGGACATGATCAAAAGATTCACATGATGCCATGCTGCATTGCTCCATTGAGCCGACCAGCTGAAATCCATCGACTTCTTTCTGCACAAAATAAAACGCACCCAGACTGATCGCTTGTGTCCCTCTTAAATTTCACCACAGACTGGAAACTTTGACCTATCTGCAAGGCTTGCATGCGACACCACAAGCATCAAACCTCCACAAACCTTGAACTCGAGGCCACGTCTACGTCTAACTCCACGGCTTGGCTTTGCTTTTTAACTGATTCGACCCGCGCCTCGGCCCGCGGTGCCGTGATGAGGCCAGGTAGCGCAGGCTGTGCTTTCAGCCTGGGATGCGATTTCTCAGATCTGGGGAGGTGAGATGCTAAGCATCAGCACCGCAAAACCTGGTATTAACATGGTCCACCCAAAACACTGCAAATCATCAAAAGAGGCGCCATGGAATTTGCATATCATGCACATGTGAAGCCCTCACTGACTCACGCGCTTCGAACTGGATAGAGGATCATATCTACATTGATGTACCATTCCAATTGGCAACGTTTTGGCTTTCCAACGAGCGAATCTCAAGTCATGTTCGTGAGAATATGCCCCTATGGTAAACCAAAAAAAGGACCCACTCACAAACTACAAACCCATTCCTCCAAGGCACTGTACTTCGTCAGCTGCAGCACTGTCTGCCGCGGCTTTCAAACGGCGGCGCTGCTTCCGGCTGGCGGACGTCCGCAGCCCTCCTTGCGCATGAGTGGGCTTCCAAGACCATAGGCGTACTTTGCTCTTCCTTGTGGGTTTCCCTTCAAACCAAGGTGGAAAGGATAGCAAGCCTCAAAAAAAAGGCACGCGTATGTAGCGTGTACCACTGCCTTGCTGAACCCCAAAAAATACGCGCTTTGCTCAACGTGACATCGGCGCTCGTAAATCCCATTTCATCCAGGGCTCGTGGTGACGAGGAGCCACTAGACGCGGCCTCACAAGAATCAATTCCTCCGAGGCCCGCTGGCTGCCAGACCCAACTTTCCCGGCCTCCTGGCCCTGGACGTCGCCTGTCTGCGCCTGCCACGTGGCGTTGGCACGCGCACGCCCGCACAGACATGCCAAAAACGCCCACGCTTCAACCGGACCCAGGGCCTGCTGCACGGGCGGCTGCAGAACATCTGCAGGTACACTAGCCACAGGAAAACCTGGCTTTGCCAGGGGCCTTTTGGCGCGGAGAACCGGACGACAAGACCCCCGCGAAGTGTCCAGGAACTTCGGCCGACTGAGGCGCTCGCCAGCGCTGAAGCAGCCATCGCTGGTCATAAAGACAGCTGGCCACACCTCTGCATTGGCAAGGGGGTCTGAGGCTCAAGGATCGCAAGCTGTGGATTCCGAACAAACCGCACACCAAGGGGTCACTTGTGAACCAGCCACTTGCGGGAATCCGGCGCTACTTGCACAGCTCGCTTCGACGGCATGCGTATCTGGCGAGGCACACAGGCGCCGGGGGGAAAAGCAGCATGGGCATCTAGCTGCCACATGCACTGGGCACCTGTCCTGGGATGAAGAAATCGATCGATCGCGGCTGCCGTCATCCGGACAATACGATGGCTTCACAAAGAGGGTGCGGGAGAAATGCGGGTGGTCTGAACCTGTTTTCTGCGGGCAGTTTAGGTGGGCCCGCACATGTCCTCACCTTCTACGATTGACTACAAAGAAACATCAGCCCACCCAAAGAAAGCTCAGCTGGAAACATGCTTCAACAGGCGTGATGATGGTTGCAGCCAAGAGTCTCTGAAGCCTGTCTGCCCTGCAATCATGCATCTCAACTCTGCCGGGCAAAAAAACTGTTGAGAGCGCACGATAGATTTGTCTCCTAATAGGGGATCTCCAAATAGGGGAACCCCCAACATTGTTGGTTTCCTTGTGGTTTCAACCTCGCTAAATGCCACGTGGCGTGAATGCGCCTGATCTGGCTGTGACTCCAAGGTGGTATCCTGCCGAGCATTTCGGGATTTGATCGAGCCGCTCGGATCTTCTTTCTCACGGCTCCAAGTGATACACCGAACTGTTATTCACTTGTCTGAAGCACCAGGCAACCGCTGAACCTTTGGGCCCCCTCAGCTCAAAGCGCGGAAGGCTCATTTGGCCCGCCTGCTCTTCCTGCGGCTCGCGCGAACTTCTGGAGCCGCCTCAAGGTCCGAAGGCCCGCCCATCTGAATCACAGGTCTCCCGGTCTCCCGGTCAAAATCCCCTAAGCTTTGTGCAGACTGAAGGCCTTGCCAGGGCCGGCATGAATTTTAATTAGGGACCCTCTGGATGTCCACCATATAGGTGGGGTTTTCTGTCCACCGACCACTTCCCAGCAGGTTCCTCATTGAAATTCATTGCCATATGACGACCCCTTGAACTGGTCTTGCAAAAACGACTGGCTCGATCACTCAGATGCTGACTTGCGCCGGCCAACAGATTCTCGACCGCCTCAGAGCTCGAGGTGTGTATAAATTATGTTTGGGGACCCCTTGGTGGACGTCATGTAAATGGGACTGTCTTTCCACGCTTTAGAGGATGTTCCCCATATTCGTACCAAGCAATTCTCCCATACAGAGCATTGGAATGAGTGAGTGTCTAACTCTCAAGGAGCCTGGCTTCCTTTCCGCACCCGATCAATAGTCTCCCCGCTTCTCTAAAAAGTATTCGGTCAACAAGACACTCCCTATGAAAATTAACCCGTCGATTCATCCCGGGTTCCCGTTTAGTGGAAAGGGTCACAATCCGAACCTGGTGGCAGGATGAATCACAAGGGTGGATATCCGCACCTGACATAAATGGCAAGGGGACCGTCCCGCGCTAAGCTTCGAACCGGTTTTGGATTGTGGCTATCACTTCTCACCCGCTCCGAATCTGGGCCACAGGCCACGGGCCATCGAGCTCCCTGCCATTGTGCCTCAAGCCGTGCGAAGCGAAGTTTGGCCGACTGCACAATAACAAAAAAGAACAAAACAAGGACCTGACTGGCAAAGGCCCGCAGGCCCTTCCGCAAAAGGACCCTTTTCTTCCGCAAAAGGCCTAGCCCCCCCCCCTCCCCCTGATAATCTTACAAAGGCCACGTGAAACGGGTCATTTGGACTTGACGCATAGGCCCTCCCCATCTCCTTCAAGTTCACATGGAACTCAAAAAATGCTTCAGCTTCAAGGAATCTCCATCTGGGAGGCCTCCCCTTTTTTGGGATTCCATGCGAAGCCAAGGCAGAAACTCGCCTTAGGCAACCAATGCGTCCTGGGCCTCCCCACTGCGGTCAGCCGCGGGTCGATCCTCGGCTTCCAGCAAAACCAAAGCCAAGCGCTTGAAGGCGCCGCCATATTCAGAACCTCTGGGTTGTTCTTCGGTTATGAGCAAAGAAGATCCTTGCTTTAATTTCAAGACCCATTTGCTTCCGAAAGGTCTAAGGGCTAAGGTCACAACAAACACCAGCCATGCCCTCTTTCCAGTATTTTCAAGGGAAGCCCAAAGGAAACCAACCATATAAATAATTCCAAATCTTAATTTTGATAAAACAAAAACAAACAAAAAAGAAACACGTGGCTCGAGGAAGCGGCTCGCTAGCTCTCTTCCGTTTCCAGCGTTTGATGGCATCCACACCGCAAGGCATTGAAGGACTGGGAGATCGTGACCATTATCCAAAACGGGTAGACTCGAACCGAGTCTCCAACCCGAGGTACCCTTTGGTTTGTCCTTCGGTTTCCTTTGGCTTGTGGCTTCCTTTGATATCCTTTGGTTCTTTGAGCTTCCTCTGGTCTCCAACCTTACCCGCAAAACTCTGCACGCATCCGCAAATTCTGGAATTCCAAGCGGCCCTGACATAAGGGATCTCCAAATAAAGGCCCTACACCATGGCTTCAAATCGGGCTCCCTTCCAAGCAACCAAACGGAATTGCCCTACAGACAACCCAGACAGCATCGCCAGGCTGCTGCACCGCTTGGCTCCAGTTGGGGTAGACCGCAGTGGTCGGAGGCTGCACCTGGCATTCGGTGCCCTCAAAGAAAAAAAACACCACATTCTTAGCGGTCGAACCCCCACCAAGCAAACAGGGACTTCTTGGTCCTGAAAAAAGAGTGAGGGGTGTCGTTGTCACATGCCTCTGGACATTGCGTTGTGCTTTCGGAATACATGGACTTGAGGGTGGCTTCTTGGACTGGGTCAAGTATTTCAACGGAAGACTTCCCAGCGAAACAACTGAGTTCAGCTGGGCTCGCATGAATCCCGACAACATTGCCACCCCTTAAGTTGGGTGTGCTTCACACAACACATGTGCGCCCTGGAAACTTGGCCAAATGGAATCGACCCCTGCAAAACTTGTGCTGCTGGTCAAACAGGAAACGGTGAAAAAGCAAGACGGCCAAAGGGCTCGCCTCCAAGGGCACGCCATGGTCTGAGATCTCCACTGCTGCATTGGTGCCGGCCAGCAGCAGCCGCGATGCGGATTTCTGGACCTGGCGACGGCCCGAGGGTAGGACGCAGAAACTCGCCCGAACCAACCGAAAGGGCTTCGCCAATTCCTCAGTTTGAGTCCACCTTGATCGGCATGCTGACCTCTCTGGCGCTGTTCTCAGCTCAAGCATGCCAGATGGACGGGTCGTAGGACAGGAAGAAACATCATGCACGTCCTCCGCGAGCAAAATATAAAGCTGCAAAAGGCCGAACGTCCAACTGCACCTCTGAGTGCCTGAGCGTTGCCAGCACAGCCAGTCCTGCGATTCTCAGGACGAAAGCGCCTGGCGCGTTTCTGCGGTGAACAAATCAAACTGCTTACCCCTAGCGCAGCCAAGCTGCTGACGGGAACTAGATGGACACCCTGTTCGGGCCAAATGCAACGGAAGGCACCAAGCTGCCCGTCCACCAGCCAACAAATGGGGTTGTTTGGTCCCATCGGGCATTCCAATCGACCCAAAACATGTTGCACCTGTGAGTGACGGGGCTGTACCCCATGGTAATGAACAGAATGGCGTGGTCCTTGCCCATGTTAGAAACAACTAGGTCGCACACCATTCGTTGCTGTACACTATGTCAAAAGCACTGACAAAATCAAATTGTTCAACCGATTGCTTAGTGGCACCTAGCCCAATGAAAACGGTTTGCTTTGCCTTTTGCATATAAACTAGACCACGGTTGGCCCGAAAGCAGAACATCGCAAGCGAGGTCGGCCCAACGCTGCAGGATGCGTTCTTTTTCCCTACACTTCGTGAAGCAAGCGCGAGACAGCACCAGGCAAGGTGCTCTGCGCAAACTGGTCGGTGCAAGTTGGTCTGCGCAAGTTGCTCTACGCAAGTTGCACTGTGCAAGTTGCTCTGCGCAAGTTGCTCCGCGCAAGTTGCTCCGGCAAGTTGGTCCCTGCAAGTGGCTCCCTGCAAGTTGCTCTGTGCAAATTGCGCTCCCTGCAAGTTGCTCTGTGCAAGCTGCTCTGCGCAAGTTGCTCTGTGCAAGTTGCTCTGCGTAAGTTGCTCTGCGCAAGTTGCTCTGCGCTCTGCGCAAACTGCTCTGCGCAAGTTGCTAAAATGCAAGTTGCATCTTGCGACGCCCGCCCGCGGACCAGGGAGGAATCGAACCCGCGACCCGCCGGTTCCGGGAGCAGGCGCGCGAACCACGAGACAACTCCCGAGGACCAGTTCGAACAACAAAAGTCGCAAAAAACCTTGAGTTTTTGCACCTCGACCACGCCGATCCCCGCAGAGGGTTGCGCGAGCACCGCAGAAATCGCAAAAAACCCTCGACACTCGACCACGCCGATCCCCGCAGAGGGTCGCGCGAGCAAGAAATCGCAAAAAACCATGGGTTTTTGCACCTCGACCACGCCGATCCCCGCAGAGGGTCGCGCGAGCAGGTTAGAAATCGCAAAAAAAACCATGGGTTTTTGCACCTCGACCACGCCGATCCCCGCAGAGGGTCGCGCGAGCAGGTTAGAAATCGCAAAAAACCATGGGTTTTTGCACCTCGACCACGCCGATCCCCGCAGAGGGTCGCGCGAGCAGGTTAGAAATCGCAAAAAACCATGGGTTTTTGCACCTCGACCACGCCGATCCCCGCAGAGGGTCGCGCGAGCAGGTTAGAAATCGCAAAAAACCATGGGTTTTTGCACCTCGACCACGCCGATCCCCGCAGAGGGTCGATTTTCGTGTAGTGTCGTCGGCACTACCCCGCCGCCCTAAGAAGAGATTTTAACTCCTCGCAAGTCAATTGCACTTGACTCCTTGCACTTGCAACTTGCACTTGACTCCTTGCTTGTTTCAAGGAGTCATTGCAAGGAGTCATTGCAAGGAGTCATTGCAAGGAGTCATTGCAAGGAGTCATTGCAAGGAGTCATTGCAAGGAGTCATTGCAAGGAGTCATTGCAAGGAGTCATTGCAAGGAGTCATTGCAAGGAGTCATTGCAAGGAGTCATGAGAGCCATTGCAAGTTGCAAGGAGCCAAGTGCATGGAGCCAAGTGCAAGTCGCAAGTGCACGGAGTTACGTGCAAGTTGCAAGTGCAAGGAGCCAAGCGCAAGGAGCCAAGTGCAAAGAGCCAAGTGCAAGGAGCCAAGTGCATGGAGTCAAGCGCAAGTTGCAAGTGCATGGAGTCAAGTTGCAAGTGCAAGGAGTCAAGTGCAAGTTGCAAGCGCAAGGAGTCAAGTGCAAGTTGCAATCCTTGCCATGACTCCTTGCAATGACTCCTTGCAATGACTCCTTGCAATGACTCCTTGCAATGACTCCTTGCAACGACTCCTTGCAATGACTCCTTGCAATGACTCCTTGCATTGACTCTCATGATGATGATTCCTTGCAATGACACCTTGTAATGACTCTCATGCGAACAATTCAAGTGAACCCAGCGGAAGGACCCTTCGCCATGCTTTCGGGAAAACAGGCAACGCTCGAGATGCATACCGCGCAAGTGAAGGGACCTTGGATCGGATCGGGCATGAACAACATGCATCATGCCTATGCAAGATTGGTCGCAGAGGCGTTTTGGCTGTTGCTTTGCGTTCGGACTGTTGTCTCCCTTGCGTTTCCCCTTGAATAACCAAGGGTCCACCAATTTCAGAAATTCCTGACACCGCAGCAGATATGCGTCAGTTTATCTACTTGCAGTTTTTGCACATGTAAAAGCGCAAACGCTTCTAGCTACGTAGTATTTGCAACGATAGCTCAGCCAGCCAAACATCTTAACATCAAAAAACCATAAAAACACATTTCCTAAATGCGCATATAGCGCAAGAATATGTCTTATGGGCAGCATGCCAAGCAGCTGCTGAGCCAAACCAAGGACACCATTTGGGAACGATTGCCTGGATAAATGTCAAACTGCAAATCCCTCTGGTTAAGGCCTGTTGCACTGCTCCTAGCTTCAACCCAAACAACCCTCACATCAAAGAACCCCGCAAATCCAAAAGCACTGCCTCCAGAGTACCGCGGGTAACGCCCTGGGCAAAGCGAGGGCAGGCGTGCCCAAGCCTGGGCTTGAGGCGCAGAGCGTCTGCAGCCTCGAGCCAGCCTTGCGAAAGGCCAAGTAGGGTGGGAGGGTGGGTTTCAATCGAGACAAACGGTTTGAGTTCAAGGCTAGGAGCAAAATGGCCAGCGCGTACGAGATTCACAACAGGCCCTAAACACAAAGCGTTAAGGCTGTTGCACTGCTCCTAGCTTGAACCCAAACAACCCTCACATCAAAGAACCCCGCAAATCCAAAAGGCGCGCGCTTCTTTCTCACGGGTTGCTTGAAAGTAGCACTGCCTCCAGGGCACGCGGTGCACCTGGAGCAGGAGGAAGCATTGTCCCGCTCTTCAGTGCTTCCAAGCAACCCGAAAGAGCTGAGCCGACCAAACCCCCCTTCAGAGCGGGGTTGCGCCTGACAGGGCGAATGCGCACATTGATCGGAAACTGCTTGGGATGCATGGTTGCACGCTCGCATCCGCTCTTTTAGCGCGCAGGTGTTCTGGCCGCCAAGGCGCATCGATGGGGCACAGGCGGTCTGCAGGGCGGTTTATGAAACGGTGAAGGCGTCCTCGGAGGTCGTCCGCCCAGTCGTTCAGACGTCCAGGCACGTGTGTGGGCTGCAAGTGCACGTTGTGTGCGTGAGCCCAGGTTGCCACTAGTTGTAGAAACAATTCCAAAGGCCAAGAAGTGCTGAAAAGCTTGATGATGACTGCTTCCGTGGCAGACGGACGGCAAGCTGAAGGAGTAGTGACTCCCTCCAGTGCGCGAGTGCGTGGCGCTAACTGGGCTAGGGTCTCAAAGGCAATGTAGCGCTGGGCAGGCTTGGTAAGGCAAGGCCACGCGGATCTGACCTTGCTCGTGTTCCATGTTTCTGCAAACCAAACCACCTGAGTGGAGGTCACTGCCCACCCTCCATCGCCGACAGTGTCGGCCTCTACAGCTGCTAGAGCTTGGAGTCTGCAAGGCTGCGTTGGTTGGACGGGCAAGTGCTGGAAGCATGATCCAAGCCAGGCCAGACAGCGCTGGCTGAACTTGGAAAGGCTAGTATATGGGTTTGATGGGTCTGAGATCCTGACCCGCGTGGGCTTGCTGGTTGGGGGTGGGCGTCACATCCTGCACACAATGCAATGGCTGGCCATTGACCTCTAAGAGCTTGCATCCTTCTGAGATCCAAAGGTGCGTTTTGAGGTCACGACTCAAGCAGGCTCAAAATGCTGACCACGTCTGAGGTGGTATGGAGCGCATTGAACCGGGAGGGTTTGCGACAGTAGCGTCTCAACTAAGCGTTTGGCCAGCTTGCCTGACATGAGCTGTATAGAATCGTGGAGCCAAGCCTTGCTCCCCATGTACTTCAGCTGCATACCAGCCCTTTAGTTTATCCGGAAAACTGGGGGAGCGCGTCGCTACCCAGCGATGCGCTCCCAGGCTCGCCGCCCGGCTTCCCGGCTTCGAATTTGGCCAGCGCCGAAGGTCCGTCAGCGGGTCGGTCCTCGCCGTACCGCTGTCGGAATGTTTTTTTTCACCATTCACACGCCCAGCCGTGTATAGCAGGGCACTCACAGAAAACTCTGTCAGCGCGTCGCTACACAGCGACGCGCTGACGGACTCGCCGCCCGGCTTCCCGGCTTCAAATTTGGGAAGTAACGCAAAGGAATGGGGAAGATCAAGCTGTTTCCTACGACAGAGTATAGCAGTAAGCAGCCCTCTGACCCCGTGGTGCCCCTGGTGCCATGCACGGGCATCTTCCTCGGGCCATCAAAATCGGGCAAAACCGTGGCTCTGATCAGCCTGATTCTGGAGCAGTATCGCGGCGTCTTTGAGAGAATTTACATCTTCAGCCCGAGTGTCAACATAGACGACGGCTGGATCCCCGTCAAGAAGTACATTGAGGAGGACCTGGGGGTGAACACAGAGCGGGAGCAGACGTATTGGGACGAGTGGGACGAGGCGGCGCTGCGGCGCATCATCCAGCAGCAGCGCAAGATCACGGAGGCGTCCAAGAAGTTGGAAATGAAGAAACTGTACCAGGTGCTTGTAGTCATCGACGACTTTGCTGACACGCCGCAGTTGCACAAGCCTCACGGCGCCCTGGACACTCTCTTCATCAGGGGCCGGCACATGCAGATCAGTACCTGGGTGAGCTCGCAGAAGCTGAGGCTCATCAGCGCAGCCGTGCGGGTGAACATGCAATTCCTCTGCTGCTGGAGGCTGCGCAACCAGCACGAGCTGGACGCCGTGGTGGAGGAGCTCAGCGCCCTGCTGCCGAAGGAGCAGCTGTACCGGCTGTATGAGCAGGCGACGCGGGAACCCTACAGTTTCCTTTTCGTCTACTACCTTGCTCCAAAGCGCAACAAGAAAGCAGCAGCGCGCCCTGCGCATGCTGGAGAGG